TCCCCTTCATTAAGTTTTCTGGCATTAGGTTGTTTACCAGGCTAAGGAGTTCCTCAGCTCTTGGCTGTGGCTGAGGGCACCAATGTGCTTCCTGGCTGTGGGCTTCAGCTCCATGGAGGGAGCCTCTCTGCTGAGCAGGGCTTTGATGTTTGAATAGAAAGGAGGATTAGTATTTGAAGCAAGGTTAGTTGTGAGGTGAGGAGAACCTGTTTACTCAAAGTTAGTTTAGGTATTTCAAGACAATGTATCACTGTTTAGTTAAGGCTTATGCCAGCCTCGGTGGGATGTGATGATTATCAAACTGTTTAAAAACAAATCCTAAAGGAGAAAAATTGAACTGCCTTTGTATTGCATGTCTACAGCAGGTATAATTTAACACTGTCAACTCAGTTCAAACAGACTGGGAATTTGGCTGCCTCTAAAGTGTGGGCTGTTTTGCTATTTTGTCTTCTGTTGAAGTCCTAAGCAGTAATTTCTTATCTGAATAGAACTATAGGTAATGGGATGAGGGTAAACAGGAAAAAGACATAATTACATTGGTCTAAATTCACACCACAGGTCACACCAAAAGATGTCCTTGTGTAAACAAGACTTGTGTTTGTCCATACAGCTGGGTTCAGCTGTGCCCATTGCTGACATCCATTGTCAGCAACAGATCATTTCTGTAGTATAGCCAAGGCTTTAAAACAAAGACCATAATCAGTCTTGTTGCATAGCTCAGTGACAGAGGTGTCATTATGCTGATGGACAAAGCAAAGTGGTTTTTCAGCCCTGTGTAGTAAAAAGCAACAAGAATATGGGTTGATGCAAGTGTTTTTCTGTATTTTTGTTGCCAGCAGCTTTACAGTGAACCCATACTGTATTTTCATAGGTCTTGGAATACTGTTTCCTTTATAAAAATAATAAGTAAAGAAAAAAATAAAATCAGAACACTTTGGCAAATTTCTATTTGAAATGTTGCATGGAATTTAGGCATCAGAGGTACTGCTTGCTTTTTGGAATAGTTGTTTTTATTTGTATTGTGGCACAAGTAACACGTGTAAAAGTGAGTTTTCATATTAGGGAGACTCCTGTTTCTTTGGCATGTGTGCAACTCTCAGGTGGGGAGGAGCAGAAGACATACTGCCCAAGGGAGGGAGAGCACTCTGCAACAGCATTATTTGTGGTGGTATTTCTACAACAAATCTGCATTTTGGTGCTGCTGGGAAAATGGAAAGCGCAGTTATGGGTTTCTGGTGTTTGCAGTGGGTAGACCAATGGCTTTTTGTAGTACATGTGCTATGTTGTGTATCACTTCTTCAAAACTACAGTTAGTTTGCTGTATTTATCTGAAGACTGAAAAAAGATAGAACAGTGTGGACCTAGGATGCATAACTGAGGTTGCAGCAGGAGCTGGAAAAAAAAAAATCTTCCCTTAGACTTTGTGGTTTGATGTACAAAGTTCAGTGTGGCCTTATCCCATTACTACTTTTCTGGTATTAGAGTGGGGGACATTGCAACACAATGACAGACTGTGAAGTATTTAAAAATCATATCCAGGGAATGGAGAAAGCAGCATATTTCATAGTTTTTATTCATATTTTTTGATGATTAAATATCCCTGCTGAAAAACAGACTTCAAAGAAGTGTGAGGTCTTGCTTTGTGTTTGAGCTGCAAGGGTGTCAAATGCTGCATGTCTTGCAGAGACAGGCCTTGACTCTGCAGCTCCTTGCTGTAGCTCCTGTCATTGAGAGCTGGTGATGTACCATCTTCTGAGAAGGTCATTGCCCCAGCCATTTCCTCAGTGCTCTTGGGGCTGGAAATGCAGCAGTGGTTTCGTGTGACACAAGTTGAGGGGTCTGTGCAGTTTGGGATATGATGAGAAGACATTTGAGGGGGATTGGTTTGGGCCATGGCAGCTTCTGCGTGTGGAGTTTTGAATTGTGCTGCTTATGGTTTTATTTTTTTATATGTACATATAGCATATCCAACAGCTATACTTTAGAGTTTTCTACAAGAAAACACCAAACAAACCATAGCAGGCACTTAATGCAAGTTCCCTGTGTATCCAAAAAGCCTTTCCTTCTTGCAGTGCTATCACAACAACTCTCTTCACAATTTTTGTAGGAGCATGGATGTGTTGAACACAACCCAGATAACTTGATGGGATATTTATTTACAGTGGAATTTTTTTGTTTTGTTTTCTTCCAGTGGAAGCATGACTTTCTGCAGATAATGTCTTTTTTTCCAGATGCGTTTTATTCTTTTGAGTGTGAAGGATATCCTACTCAGCATTTTCCCACCTTTTATCAGCTTATCTCTGCAGTGATTCTCCAGAGTGAGTCAGGGAAACACAGTGCTTTATTAAAGAACTGCATCATCTTTTAGGAAAAAAAAAGTATTTGCTTTTAATAAACAATAGCAAACTCAAGCATGTGCAGTCTTGCTATTTTCAAGTCAATTGTAGACAATTGCAAGATTGATTGATTTCAGAATAACATGATTTCAGAATTTTGATATTCAACTTCAAAATAACTGATGAAAATTTCTGGTCAGAGAAAAAAAGTATTACAATTATATTCTCCTTTGTTACGCTTCTTTTTTTTTCACCTTGTTGTTCTATTCTGTAGGAATTGTTATAGCACAGTTTTGAGCAATCGAAAGAGAAATTTTATCCCTGCCTGTGAGAATAACTATGTATGTTTATATGAGCCTTCCTTGTAATAATTTGGGAGTTGATTCTTAGAGTACTGCTTGGTAACAGAAAGACTTTGATAAAATTACAGTTGATTCCAGAACTTAGACCTTTTATAATAATGGTTTTATGTTTTACAGTTATCTCTCTGGTAGAAGCATCATTCAATATTTGTCAATTGCATGAAAATATTAATTAAATGCTTTGTATAATAAAGTGTTCCCTTTAAAAAAAAGTCAAACAAAAAATAACCAACACATACAACCTGTAAAAACAAAATTACTTTTAACTAGATTTATTTCTCAGGATTTTACAGTTTTAAGAAAGGATCTGCATCCTTTTTTTGGGCAACAGTAGAATTTGTATATTTGATTTTGTTTGGCTGCATTATCATGATTCCCACTCAGAGTTACCATTTCTGGTTCTTGAGATATTTTTAGAGTAATGAGCCTTACTAAGTGCTGCTGGATTGCTTATTGCTGTTCATATCACATTCCAAACAAGTAGTTGGAGCAACAGTGTATGCAAGTGTTACACCTGAAATCAAACATTCCTCCTTTTTAATTTAATGGATGTCAGCAGTGTGATCAGAACTGTACAGAATTGGGCATAAACAGACTGAATACCCAGCATTCGGAGATGACTGCTCAGTATAGCCTGTGAATAATTCTTGTCTCATACTACAAGGGGCAGAAAAATACTAGCTACAGTAACAAAAGGACTGAACTAATGAGTAACCAAATTTCACACATTTTAATGGATGTGGGAGGACTGGATTATTAATGGTTGTGTTGGAGAAAAACACTGCAGTGTCTGTTCCCCTTGAAGCTTGTGGCTCTGTTATGTGTGTTTATAACAGCAGCCACTTATCCTAAGGCCTGTGCACCTTGCATTCGAGAGGAAAAAAAAATCAGTGGCAAGCTACCTCCTCAACACGTGATGCCTTTAGTTTCAGAGCGCCTTGTAGCAGGGGCTCTATCTCAGCCCAGAAGGTTGAGTGGTATGGCCTTCATTAGACTTGAGAAGCTCTTATGTCACTGGGCATTGATGAGGAGTTGTTGGGTCTTTTTCTCTTTTTGCCCCTTAGATATGGTATTTGTACCTCCTGAATCCCAGCATAAAAGGCCAGTGAAACAATAGCTGCTTTTGCTATGAGCAGCTGACAGAACACCATTACTATTTGAGCACTGCTGGTGTGGTCCCAGAAACCTAAAATGGTGGTGAAGTTGTTTGCTTCTCTTCCTTGGGTCGAGCCATGCCTGCTCCAAAAATGCCTCTCCTTCTTCTAGCATTTGGCTCCTCTTCCTTGCCCACTGTCCCCACTGCCTTGCATTACTGAGGTGGTGCTTTGCCATGTAGCATGTCTGTGATACTACTTTGTGAAAGAACATTTTCAGTGGTGGAGGACAGAAAATATAAGCATTCTACATTGCAGGTTTGTGTTTGTTTTTGATTTTGCTGGTGATATTTTATTTATTTTTAGTAAAGTTTAGTAAATAAGTAAAACAGGAAGATGTAGTTCACCGAGGTGTATCCTAGAGATATGGAAAGGGGCAGTATTGCCATCACTTGAAGAAGTTTCTTATAGGTCTCTGTGGAATGACACTAGCTATATATGTATATATATATATATATATATATATATATATATAGTGCTAGGTGATAGGATTTTTTTAGCCTCTGCAGATTGTGTTTGTTTTACCTTCCTCTTTCTGGAAAACAGTGTTAAGCCTCCAAATCTCTGTTTTGTTTTTGTCATATTTTTTTATCACTTTTGAACAGTCTTCTAATTCATTGAGAAGAAATTAGTGTTTGGTGCTTTGCTCTGCTGGGTTATTTTTTCTCTTCAGTAAGGTGTAAATGGGATAACTCTTCTTCTGTCATTTAATACTCATCATCATCTTGGACATATGAAACCAAGACAGCGGTGATGACTGCTATCTTCTCACTTCTGCTTACTTGGAGGAGGCAGTGCTACCCAAAGGTCTAAACTAAAGCTCATGTAATTTTTTTTTCTGGTTGTAAAGTATTGCATAACTTCATAAAAGAAAATAGATTCATTTCACATATTAATTTGACAAACGTTTGTTCTTTTCTTCCTGTTAGTCCTCTGTGCACATGGTTTAAGCACTAAAGCCAAGGAAGCGATCATGGCATAACTTGCAGCAATTATGTAAACTGTGTTAGATCAGATGTATATGCCAACCCTGGCTTCTGCTGTGCTTAAAAAACGATTTATCATGTGCTGGTAGGAGTGAAGGAAATGTTTTGGTTTTTTTTTTTTAATTACTGTATTAATATATTGGTGTTGTACTTGACTTCCAGGTTGCATCACAACGCATCAGCTCAGTGGATCTTTCATGCTGCAGCCTGGAGCACCTGCCTGCCAACCTGTTTTATAGCCAAGACCTCACTCATCTCAATTTAAAGCAGAACTTCCTGAGGCTAAACCCCAGCCCATCCACAAGTAGAGCGCTTAGTGAATTACAAAGGTAAAGTAATATGGTTCTAGCACTCTTCCTCTGTCCTTGGAGACATGATCATGCAAAAATTACTACCTCTTCTTGTGAAACATTGGCCTGACTGTAATGCTTCAGGAATTGGTTAACTTTGTGTGTTAGAAACAGACTGCCTTTCATAAGAAACCTCATGTTTTTCTTGTAAATAGAAGGATATATTCAGCTCAAAATGCAATTTTCATAATGTATTTTTATGTACCTACTGAGGCCAGACTGTAGTTCTTCAGCCTTTGACTCGTGTGAGTGAGTATGAGTTGGTGAGCTGCCCATCAAAGGCAGCCATTCTATATAGGAGCAGTACTGCATGTGACCAAGGAAAGAAGTTTTCTGTTAGCCCCCCCAAGCAAAGGAAGCCCTGATTTCATAAATTGTCTGGTTCCTGTCTTCCTTCTACTCTGCTCAGTCCTATTTTTCTTTCTTAGTATCTGTGACCTTCCAGTTCTTTCCACTGCAGCTCATCCAAGAGTGTAACAAATGGGTAGACAGCAGCAGGATTGGTGCTCTGAATGGTTTAATGTACGTGTTCTGTGGAATCAGCAGCCTTTCTGTGTTCACAAAGATGAATGTTCCCATACTGAATATAAAGCTGTGATTTTAATTTCAGTGGTAAGTGAATTGCAAAGTACCTCAGGATTGTATTTGTGGATGGTCCTGTTCAAACAAAATGTTTTAAACCACATTTCTAAATCTCTTCCTCTTTGAAAAACAACTGAAAAGTACAAGATGGATTATGCAGGCTGTTGTATTTTTATATCATTCCAATTTCATTTTGGAAAAACAAAAAGTCTGGCATAATGAAAGATGAATGAACCCAGCAAGTCTGCTTCACAAACAAAGCAGGCAGCTATTCCAAGACCTTATGAGCACAGTCTGGAGAGAAATTCTGACTGGACTGTGAATGTCAGCATAGGTGTCCAGATAACAAGTGGGATTTTAGCATAAGCTAGCGATGAACATGGACAAATAATCAGTGTCTCTTATTTTAACGACTTCTTACAATTTTTTTTCCTTTTTAAGTATCAGAAAGTGTAATTGACTATGCTTTGTCCATGTACCTACAGTGAATTTCTGTTTGCAATAGGTTCGGATTTGTCCGTATACCTACAACTAATTCTGTTTGGGATTAGAAAGCATTGATAATTAATGTAATAGGCAATGGTCATTCTCTGTTTAATGTTCTTTTGATATTGCAGTTGTAGTAACAGCTGATGAGTCTTGCTGGTGGTTAACAAACCATTAAATTTTTTCTTACTAACATGAGGCTGAACATAAAAGAGTGAAAGAGTTCAGATGACAATATATACTTCTGTTTTCTGAGATGAGGAGAATCTGGAGAAGTGGTATATACCTGAGGTGGTGCAAAACTGATTGTCTCTCATTCTTCTGTGAGCTGGCCCTATTCAGTAAGCAAGTAATATTCTGCTCTGCTTCTATTGCTTTGAGCTTGTCAAAAAGGCACAAGGCAGATCTGGGAACTTCTGGAGAAAAAAAAATTAGGTTACAGAGCACTGTTTTGGTGTATCTGAGTTGGTGCATCAGAAACTCCTGCCCTTGATGTTTCCCTTTGATGTTTCCCTTTGTCTGCTTGATGTCCTCCAGCCTTACCTTCACCCAGGACTGGTGGGATCACCCAGACAGTGAGTGGCTGGAGGAAGCTGTTGCCACTGTTTCCATTGCTGTGCCAGTGGGAAGGGCTCTGTGAAGTAGCGGCAGTTCTCACTGAGGGTTTGGAAAAGCCATGCTCTGCTGGTTGCCTTTTGCCTCCATACTGCAGCAAAAGCATGAGCCTGACCCTGGAGTGTGCTCCCAAACCATTCTCCTTCCTGCCCTAAGAAACACAGAACTGACTTCTCCTTTGGGTGGGAAAACTCGAGTTGTACTGGTGTTCCCCAGAAGCTTTGAGCCAGCTTGACTGCTAGCAAGTCTGCTTTTCTCTAGTGAGTAAACACACAAATATCTGGAAAGAAGTGAGCACCACACATTTTGAAATCATTAGTGAAACCCAGTATCAAAACAGGTGTAAAGTGAAGCTCGTTGTTCCTGTGAGCACACATCTGATTGATCTATTTTTTCTTTTTAAACTAATTCCATAAAACCATTTTCAGATTTATAGGGGTTGCACAAGGTAAAACTTCACTGAATAAACCAAAGTCTTTTTCTGTTCACCGTGTTCTTTCAAATCACAGGAAAACAAGTTCAAAATCTCTGCTGTTCTGATTTGGTGCTGTTGGCTTTTCTACAAAATTCTCAATTGCTAAATTGGAGCTGCACATGAGGCGCAGCACCACTGAATCAAGCCTACAAGTATTTAAGGCTCCAAAATAGCCATGTGCTTGGATGTTTTGAACAAAACACATTGGCATTTACATACCTACCCTTCCCAGTACAATTTTAAAGTAAAACTTGGTTAGCAAGGCAGTCTAAGAAAATTACTCTTACTATAAGCAGTTCTTGGTGCTGCAGTTCCTCTTAATAAATCACTTTGGGTGGTAATTTAATGAATGCTGGATTTCAGAACAAATGTGTCAAAGACACAATAAAATACCAACTTTTCAGCCACCCACTGAATTGACTTGCAAGCAGCTGGGTCATAGTAATGATGTGCTGACTAGTGCACTGTCATGGCAGGTACAGTCAGGAATGTATTAGGAAAAAAGGAATTCCTATTTTTGTCTGCACAGTTGCTTCTTTCAGTTATTAAAATAATACCATTTGTTGCATTTATGAATAAAATGTTTAGTCCTGATTAGTACCTGACATCTGAAGGTGTAGAAAGATGTAGATGTAAGTTTTCCCAGTAACTGCACTTCTACTTGCTTTACTGTCCACTCAACCCCCTTTTGTTGCTGTAGGTGCTCTGCAGCTGTGAACTTCCATAACTGAACACTCTGAATATTGAAAGGTGAATGCAGCAACCTCTATTGTTTTTCCTACTTATCAGGGAATACATATTTCATGCTATATGTACAAGTAAGCCATCTGAAAATTCATCTGTACTGAAAAAAGTAACAAGTGATGCTACTTGTTCTCCCTCACAGAATTTTTTCTAAAACTAAAGGAAAGGCTGCTTCTCTTTTGGAGAAGAGAGGAGATTCCCTGGTTGAAATGCTAAGAAGAGTACAGGCTTGCTAATTTTGCAGAGTACTGTTGCTCTGAGATGAGGCACAAGAATAGACCATAGTCTTTATTTGGTGTTGCTCTACTTCACTGGACTGAGAACACTTCATCTTTATAAGTAATTGTTTCAGTTGGTGTTGTTGGAAAAAGTGGTTGGCATCAAGAATATTATTTTCTTGCTTATATTGAAAAATAAGTTATCAGTATGTGGATTTTAAAGATATGACTGTTGCAGATTTAAAAGAAAATTAAGAAAAAGAAAAGGGAGATGTAGTAAGACACTACAAATTGCTTTAAAAATAGATAAAACACAAAAGTTGCTTTAAAAACAAATAAAATTATGCTTGCCAGTTTTATCGAAATAATTAATTATTATTCTGATTGTGGTTGTTAATTGTTAACAGTGATGATATAGATTTTTTATCTTAAGATGAGTTGGTGTCATTTTTCTCCCAGACCCCTTATAGAAATCACTGCCATCTGTGGCATCTCTGGTGAAACTCTTTGGGACTAGTGACAGAAATTTGAAGATGGATCTCTAGGTTATGAGAAGACTAGAGCACTCTGAATTACTGATGCAAGTGTTTCTGAAATCCCTTGCAACTTCCAATTTTTATCTGAAAACCCAGGATTTCAGGGAACTCAAACTAAACTGTCCTTACAAATTCATTGTGCAATAAGGAGGTAAATTAAAATGCAATCTTTGTTCAGAGAACACTTGGAAGCAAGGGGGAACCAGTATTGCAGACCTGTCTGGTATGAACCCAGCAGGCAAGGTTGCCTGAAGTCAGTGTGAGATGCAGCTGGATCTTAGCTTGTGCCTAGAGGAGCAGGGAGGAAGGTCTCCAGCCTGCCACTTGGTTGGCCTCAAAGTGCCTTGAGGTACTCCTTGTGGTTATTGCTATCAGGGTATGAAACTGAGGTTACTGGAGAAAGTCGGATGGTTTAATCAATGTCAACTATAAAACTACCCCTTTGTCAGCCTCACAGGGGCACTGGAAAAGATTTGAGCTTTCTCCTTCCCCCCCCCCCCCTTCATTTTGGGGGGTGTATGTTTGGGTTTTGAGGTGTTTGGTTTTTTCCCTTTGTTTTCTTGTTGTTGTTTATGGGGTTTGGGTGGTTTTCTTTTTGAGTTTTTTTTTGTCTGCTTGTTTTTTGTTTTGTTTTTGCAGGTGGGTTGTTGGTTTTTTTTGGGGGGGGGGGGTGGGGGTTGGGGTTGGGGGGGGGTTTTTTTTGATACAAATGAATCCTAGTATGTGGAGCATGCTAACTTTGCTTGTTCCATGGTGTGTCAAGATGTGGGGAGCTTCTCACAACTTTGTTGGTCTTGGACAGGAGGAAACCTTACTTTTATATAGTTTCTTCTCTTTCACTTAAAGTCAAACACTGAAGTGCAGCTATCTAAGCAGCAGGGCGAGAAGAAAGGCTGGTGTGGTATTGACAACCAGAGGTCTCCGAGTAACAAACCCCATCCAGTGCTTGCTGTATTTTAATGCTACACTTATTTTCTCACCTATGTAGCTTTGGAATTTTTTTTTAAAAATATTTATTATGGTAAAAGTGACACTTGTACTTTGTTGTTTATGTAACTTCACTACTTTTGTTTTATCCAACTTGTAAAGACATTGAACAAAGAGTTTCCTTTTGTTACTGCATCCTTCCAAGCCTTCATGACTACTGTGTTCTCCTTAACTCCTGTGTATCTTTGTGATCTCAAGAAAGTGCCCTCGTGAACACCCAGCAAAAATCAGTGATATTTAATTAAAGAAAAATTAAATCATAAAATTAAGTCGCTGCCAATGACTAAGTGGGGACAATTGCAAAATTGGCTTTATGCCTGAAACACATTGAATTTTTTTATTTTTATTTTTTATATTGGAACAGTGAACTTAATAGTGGTATGAGAAAAATAAATTGCAATAAGAGATACATGCTTTTAAAATAGTGTAGTCTAAAAGTCGAATTTGCATTTGGATTAGTTGGATTCACTTTAGTGAACTGTAAGGCTAAGTACAGCAGTCTCTCTTCCAAGTAATGTTTCAACAAATGAACATATACATGGAATCCAATTTACTTGTCTAGTCTCCAATTTACTTGTCTAGATTTTTTGGATATGGCTTCCAAAGTAAAGGGTTTCTTTTCGTGTAGTTAAACATGTTTCAGTTTGGAAGTCCACCCCTAGTTGATGCTTTTGTGTTTCCATTATAAATTTCCAAAAAAGAGGAAGTGAATATATTTTCACTACTTTTTCCTAAGAATTTTGTCCTTCCTCTGAGGTCGGTCTCCCTCCCCATATGAAGCAGTGTGTGGTAGGTATGTGCAGAACCTGAGAACTGCACTGTGTAGTAGTGTAGGTTCAAGTTATTTCCACTAACAGAACTGTGCACTTGGTTTTCTTGTCTTCATGGTACTCTTACCAACCTATAGTGTAATATAATAAAATGTAATATAATGTAATGTAATATAATAAAAGCTTTATTGTTGTTAAGTTTGGAGTTAATCTGAGTTTGACTTAACTATATTAACTCAACGTCATTTGAATTATATTACTAATTTAGGGCTTTTGCAATGGCACCTTTCTGGAAAGGGAATGCTATCACAGTATTTCTGGCACTAGGCTGGCAACTCCCTTAGGCAGTAAGGCCATGGAGGGCAATCCAACACAACTGCAGAAGGAAAGTAATTTGCACCTTTTATTTCCAAGGAGGAAATTGCCATAGCAGAATTTTAGGGAAATTCTCTTCGTGGTTAAGTAAGTGGCCACAGTAGCAGGTGTTCAAGAAGGTGGCAAGTTTTAGTTTGGTTCTAAAAGTTGTCACAGGACTGCAAGGCAAACACCATTGTTCTGCTCAGACATGGTGCTGAGAATGAGGGACACCGATGTTGATGCTTGAAAATGTTACTGAACTGTAACCACAGGACAGTCATGAGAGCCCAGGTTCTGGAAAGAGGTTTGGGAAGGTGATTGCTTTCCTTAGATTGAGTTCTTTATTAAGCCATGCCTTCCCTTGCAGGTGTAGTAAAATACTGCTTTTTAATTGTTTTTGTAAGAGTAGGACAAGACCAGTTATATAACCAGGGCCTGTTATGGCTGAATTTCAATGACTACCATTTGGAATACACTATTCTCCTTGCCCCAGACATAGTGGAACACAAATGCTGTACTGTGTAATGGAAATTCCTCTGCTGTTCACACCAGGTAGAGCTGAATTTGAAATTAGCACATCAGTTCATTGCTCTGCCATGATACAAACTTCTCTTGTTAGTCCCTCTCTTTATTTTTCATATGTCAAACTAAAGCCCTTCCTGAAGTGGCAGCTTCAGGATTAAATAAGTGGGCAGTTTTTGACTCAATTAGGGCAATTAGTGTTCAGTCATATTGCATGTTTAAATCCAAGGGTTGACATGTCAACATTTTGCTCTAGCTTAATGTAGGGCTATTTTTGTTCAGCAAAGTGAGTGTTTATGTATTGGCCATTACAATAGAAAGCTTAGTAAGCTAACTGAGCATAGTGTATTGAGAGATGCTGTTCTTCATTCAGGTTGACTTTTACTAAGATATAGCAAAGTCTGGAACCATGGAAGAAGGACAAAAAACATATGTATGGATTTGATGTGAGGTTATTACACTGTGATGCCTCAAACAAGCAATGTGCCTTTTTTTCTTTCTTGCAATGCCATGTGGGCAGCATTGATCTATGTGCCTGCTTCTGATAAGAGTGAAGATTTGGGTGTGAGAAAACAGCAAAGATGTTGCTCTGTAAAATCTGTTGGAAGCCTGATACTTTGCAAACTCAGCTGCAACAGAAATCTGGAGTCTTTAGAATATTTCCCTCCTACCTTATTTATATTGATGTGATATACAAGTGGTACTGGTGTGACTGACTGTAAATCTGTGTAGATATAAGAAGCACTACAAACAATGCAACATTTTAAATGTGCAGCGTGGCAGTGCTACATAATGGAAGTGATGCTTGTGATGTGCATAAGTGTGAAGTGAGTAGCCAAAGATGAGAGGTAGACTTAGATCTTAATTTTGAGCAAATGCCTGCTAGTTTGGCTCAGTAATGTTCTGCACTTGACAATGCTCCATGGGAAGAAATATTACTTTAGCATTTTCTAAATTAACATGCTTGCAATGGGGGAACAAAATACATCTTTCCGGCCAGATGTCTTAAATTAGTGTCTTAACTGTAACTAAGACTATGGTATCCATCTTTCAGTGTTTCTGTAAATGTGATTCAAGAATGAACTTTCATTTGTGTATTTTTTGATGTACGTTTTGTGCATTTTGTATGAGTGTATCCAATACTGGATGTACTGTTCATTCTCACGGATGCACTACGTAGACTTGTTAACCAGTTCAGTTTGTTTCCTGCCTAGTTAGATTATTCACCAAAGACTTTTAATAAGCACACAGTACAACACAGATTAGAGTAGTAGAGATGTAATCCAGATATGTTGGGTAGGGGGAGCTTTTTTCCTCTCCTCCTCTTTGACCTAGGGCAGTTATGCACAAGAATGTATGCAGAAAGCCTTGAAGCTGAACATGACACTGGATTTACTGTTTTTCTTAGCTTCCTTTACCACTGCTGCCCCAGTCCTCTGTGCTCTTTTAGTTTGATCTTCTGTAATTTTATCTCAAGATTGTGTTTGGGATCTTCTAGTGGATTCTTTAGTGGACAAAAGCCCTGAGACTATCCTTTTGAGACTACAGTGGCACAGATAAAGGCTGTAGCCTTGCTGTGGTTGTTAAATGAGTTAATTCTTTTTTCATGGTTGGCTTGAAAATTGGAAAGGTTACATTTTGATGTTTCTCCAACAGCTGAGTTATTTTGACTTAATCTTCACGTTTTTACTTTTTTTTGTACTTGCTGAAATGGGAGAAAATATTCTAAAGGCTCAGAGTCCAGTGCTTGGAGCACTCTTGTTTTTATTTGCAGCTAACTTTGAGGATGATGTGGGACAGCTGTTCCACCACAGAAACACCCCAAATTTCAAGGCAGTATATCTGTGCCCTGAATCTACAGTTATCTTCAAGATAAACGCAGGATTGTGTGTTTTAGTTCTAGGTTCAAGATTTTTAGTCCTTTCTCTCAAAATAGAGGAGTATGAAGGTATAGTGTTTAAAGTGTGCATATTTATTTTTCTGGCTAGCAGCTCTTACTAACTTACCTTTGCCTCCTTTTTAATTTACAGTTCTGCCTTTAGAGATAGACTAGTCATCGTTTCTGCACAGTAGCATTTTTTCCCCTGCAGCACTAATTTGATTGCAAGATTTCCTTTAGTCTCCATCTAACTTTGTTCCAAACTTCTTCTGCCTCCAGCATGGCACAGGGTGTTCAAAATTTGTGATAACTCTGGCAATATTTTTTCTCTGTTTTTCTCCTGCCATCATTGCACCAAAATACCACTAGAGAGTACAACATTCCCTTGCTTGCTGCAAGCCTGTGTAAATGCTATATGAGTTTACAGCCTGCCCTCACTGAAGTACCTGTTATTAAAATTCTTTAACCTTTTAATGCTTGATGCATTTGCTCTCCATGTTTCCTAGTTGGAGGAGAACAGAGTTCTCTGAGGTAGGAATGGGCTGATGCAGAGGCTATGGATACATTGGCACATGCTGCTGGAGATTACTTCTATGTGGAATAGCAGCACTCATGGGTGCAGTTTTGCTTCCATTGCCAAGTTATATAAAAGTCTGCTCACACAAATAAAGGACTTGATCCTTAATGAAGGGAAAATTAAGTCCAGATAAAATGTCCTGGTATAAGCTGTGCCAGAAAAGAAACTTCCTCCCATCTATCGGAGTTTGACACAGATCTTTTCATTCATCCTTTTACTTGGCTTTAGGCACACCTCCCAGTGGTTGTCAGGCAACCATAATAATGTTGCTGAACATGCAGGCTGGCTAATTGGATTGTCCCCTTCTTGGGTTTTTTGTTTAAATGATTTTGGTCATTTTTAGTAAGGCAAACTCATCCAAGTTGCTTTCTTTTTGGCTGGTGTCATAAACCAAGGAGCTTTAAGAGTTCTGTGACATGTCAAGGGCAAAATTTTGCGTCTCTCACTACAGAAGCTGTGCTAAATTCTGTTTTAATTCAGCACATTTCCCACTTGTATTCCAAACAGTCTATTCTAATGAGAATTTTTGTTTGGAAGGCAAACATGAATGGTCCTGAGTACACAGGTCAGCAGCACCACAAAAAATAAGTGTTCAAATAGTCTGAGAATTTCCTGCACCTTTGGTAGTAAAACTACCCTTGTGGTAGTTTTACTACCAAAAAATGGGTTCAGGAAAATAGCAATGCTTTAGTACAGTGTGGGATGCCACGGAAGTGAAATATATAAGGATGGCAAGGGATTTTTTGTTTGTTACACTCATTGGAAAATGCATTTAATGTGTTGTTCAGGAGGGTCTGTTCCTCTTTGTCAGCTTAACATGAGTGAACTCTTACAGGTGGTGTTGAATTTGAGTGTCTGGTCATTTCCCTGGTTGCCCTGAGCATATAAATTAAAAATGCATGTGATTTGTATGTAGATAATCAAACTTGCCTTATATTAGTCATTGTGAGGCAACTTAGTGTCGATTACTGATTTGTTTCCTTTATTTTTTCTTATCTCATTTTAGATTCACCAAATTGAAGAGCCTTAACCTTTCGAATAATAATTTAGGAGACTTCCCCCTGGCAGTCTGCAGTATCCCAACCCTGACTGAACTCAACGTGTCCTGCAATAGCCTCAGAAGCATTCCAGCAGCTGTAGGAGAAATGCACAAGCAAGTACTTTCTTAGAACTTTCACATGCACAGCGTGACAGCAACAAAGGCAACAAGCAGTTTCATGACTCTGCATACTCCTGCTATGAGAAACAGTTTAAACTTGCAGGGTTCTGTCAGAGCAGACTGGCTTGTAGATCCATATGGAAGCAATTGTGGATGGAGGGAAAGCACACTGTGTGCCTCAGAGCTCTTCCAGCCTCCAGCATTTGACACAAGGGTCACCTTCACGGTGAAGGAAATCTTTTAACCCTTCTTGTTTATGTTCTTCAGCTGTTATACAAGTTGTAGTTCTGGAGAAAGAACTGTCTAACAGCCTACACTTCATAGTTGCCAAAGCTTTTAATTATTTGGTGAATATCTTCTGTAGCAGATGTTACAGCATTATTCATTAGCATTTTTCTTTCTGCTGCCCTTTTGTATATTGTATGTCACTGTAAGTGCAGCAGATTTGTGTATTTATGGGAAGGAAATGGGATTTAACAGGTCACTCATTTTCTTCACTCTCCCTTCCCCTCTTCTAATAGCTTGCAGACATTTTTACTGGATGGCAACTTTCTCCAGTCCCTTCCCGATGAATTGGAGCATATTCATCAACTCAGCTATGTGAGTCTGTCCTTCAATGAGTTCACTGACATTCCTGGAGTGCTGGAGAAGCTGACTGCCATGGATAAGCTCTGTATGTCAGGAAACTGCATGGATACCCTGAACCTACAGGTGTTAAAAAGGATGCCTCATATTAAGCATGTGGATCTAAGGTAGGTATTCAGAAAAGGGGAAAAATTAGTGAGCCTAAATTATTTGTGTTGAAGTGGCTTCTCCTTGGCTGTCAGAATTGCCTCTGGGTATAACTCTCTTGTGTTTGTCCACTGAACCGTGTTTCTGGTGGTGTTATGTAACTCCCAGCACTTGCCGTGACTTAGCACTCTTCTTGGAGGAAGTTGGAGCATTTAGGGGAATCAATATGAAATGAGTTTTAGGGGAAATGAATGTTTGCACCTAAGGATCAAACAAAACAGAGCCTAGGGCGTTTGTGATTCCTGCAGTTTGTGTTGCTGCAGTGTTAATGCAATAGACCTGATAGTCCCTGGCCCAAAAAGCTTCTATCTGAAATCTTACAGATTTGTGAGGTGAGGAAAAGGGCATTGAAGGTGAAAGGGCAAAACCAGATATTTTAATATTTCTTGGTGTGTTAAAAGGCCTTGTCCACCATGAGTAATGTTATTTTATTGATACCCTCAGAGGAGTCCAAAGAGATCCTTATTACAAATGGCTCTGGTAGGAGGTGGTTCTCTCTTATTATGGTCTTTGGGAAAGAAAAATTCTGCAATCAGCTGGTCAAGGCTCAATTCAGAGCCTGGACCAGCTGATTGCAGAATTTTTCTACTGGGCACAAATAACAGCCAGATCATCTTTTATTTTTATAGGCACAGTAACGTTTAGCTTTTTGCAGAGCTTTTCATCAGTACTTTTCAAAGTAGTTTAGAAAGGAGCTTGGTGTCATCATTCTTTTGTCATGAGGGATAAAGCTACAGAGCACAGCTATCCTGCTTTTCAAAGGATTAAAACCCTAACATAACAAAGGGGAAAATATTAAAAACCAACCTTGATCAGAACCTGAAAGCATGCTGGTTTTATCCAGTGCAGCTGATTGATTGTAGAGCAAGCAATGGTTTGTCATCAGGAGCCTGCCTTCTAACTACAACTCATCTCCTTTTTTTGTCTGCAAGATTGAATTCAATTAGGAGATTGGAGGCCGAGGAAATAGATTTTCTGCATCATGTGACCCAACTGGATCTGCGAGACAACAAACTTGGGGAGCTGGACGCGACAGTTTTTAACAACGTGGAAGTGTTGCACTGTGAGCGGAATCAGCTGGTGACCCTCAAAATCAGCGGCTATTTCCTCAAAGCTCTGTATGCCTCCTGCAATGGTGAGTGCCAGCTGTGGTACTGCCATTGTACCTGGCTCTCTGTGAGATGCTTCTGGAGTGTAGTGCACGTAGTCAGGGGGTTCTTGACACAGTCCTAGATAAAAGGGTTTCACATGTGCTGTGTAATGCTACTGGCAGTTCTGGGCTTTGGAAGTGACTTCCTAATAAAAATACAATTTGGAGGTCTAAGAACTGTGAAAGTCCTAGAAATTCTTCTCTATGTCAGTAGGGAGGGTTCTTGAATTTGTCGCTTATTTTGGTTGCATTGATGTGTTGCTCTACTAAAACCAGTAGGAATTTACTGCTTTTCTCTGCACTGACAAAGTTCGAACAAGTGGCCATTTGGGAGACAACCCAAAACTATAAATTTTTGCTCCTCCCTCTAGCTGCTTAGCCTGTCCAGAAAGGTCTGAAATTCATAATGGTAACTTCATTTCCTTGTATTTGATAATAATAATGCAGCCTTGTGCATATGCAGTTGCATGACTGCTGTGTTTCATGAACAGGATCTGTTTGATCTGTCTCTGGAAACTGCTATTACTTAAAATACTCAGTTTGCACCACAATTTTTATCATTTAGAGTAGTTCAGTGTGGAATAAAGAAAATGCAAAGTAGGAGAACTCTGCATTTGATGAGCAGTCTGAACTGCCTTTAAAAGGCTGTCATCTTAGCAATATCTAAGCCTGTGCCTTCATTAAGTATTCATGCCAGGATCTTTGTAGCTGAGAAAAGTTAACATAATCTGAGCATGTGCTCATAGCATGTTCAATGTGGGCTGAGAATCCAAGTCAACCCATGTCTTGCAACCAGCTGCCTATTTGGTCTTGCTGTTCCTCCTGGCTTGCCCTCTCATTACCCTCTCCCACCTTGTTTTCATCTCATTTTCCAAAGAAACTGCTTGTTACAGTTGCACTTCAGCTGATTTTTCTGTAGGCTCAAATAAATGTCTGTTTGGGTTTTGGGGTGTTTTTTAACTTAGCACTAAGCACTAGCTACCTGAAACCTTAAGACATGAGCTATATTTTGGTTGCTTCAATAATAACATTACTAGCTCTAGTTGTGTTATAAAAGATCTGCCTGCAACTGGGAACTCCACAGGCATGCCAAGGCTTATGTAATGTGTTGACAAATACTCTGGATCTTGCCATGACCTAAAGGACTCTGGCATTCTGTAACTTGCTGTTCCAGAGTGGGGAGGTTCCCTTCCCATGCTTATATCTTAAGTGAACAGTGAGACAAAAGTAGAGCAGTTTTGTGACTGACTCTTCTGGGCAGAGGGTGATGGAGGTGAAGTTACAGCTCTTGTGACAGAAATGGAAAAAATGAGAATTTGCCATGAAACTTTTAAAATCCTCTGCTCTCATCTCATCAGATCAGTTATGCCGTGTCAGTCATAGCAAATACAATGTAACAATGTACTAAAACATAATAAAGAAACAGAACTCACAAGGGGTTCACAAAGGTCCATATCTTCAGAAATTTTTTAGGTTATTGATGGGGTCTGAAATCTCTGTGTGTTAGCTCTTAAAATAGTTCTTATGGAACAGTCATTTAAGTGCAAATCTTTATCACCACTTTTCTTGTTATATGTATTTTTTTCCCCTAGAACTTGTTCACCTTGATGTGTATCCAGTTCCTAATTGCCTGGCTTATATGGATATTTCTAGGTAAGAGTATGTTTTTTCTTGGACCCGTGAAATATAAATCAGAGAGACTTATGGAACAATGACATTCACTGTCATCTTGCTGAGTGGGAATGAGGGTAGAAATTGGACCTTGGGATAAGAAAAGACAAATTTTCAGTGTTAGAGGATGCTTTTTTCCTGCAGTTCAGAAGGTCAGTTCTTTCCTGTTTCCTTTTTATAGATTTTCTCTTTTTTTTTTTTTTAATTATTGCCCAAATCAAAATTTCTATTTCTTTATAGTTAAAGAATTTCCATGATTTAAAGATTTCCTGTCTTATGGAGTTAGAACATGATGATTCAAATGCACACCAATCTGAGACTTGTTGAGAAGTTACTTTCTGGATATGTCTGCAGCGTAAGCCCAGCGTAGGTGATGGTTTGATAGTTTACTCATCAGTTTGGCAGCTCCTGCAGCTCCTCGTAGTTCTCTGCAGCCCTGGCTGCTGCAGGGATGTCTGCAGTTGCCATTTGAAAGCATACATAAATTTCACCTTAATGAGGGAGGTGGGATAAGGGAAGAAATGGAAAAAGAGGGTGTTTTAGTTTGTTTTACAGTTCCAGGAATGAATCAGGAAAACATTTATACACGTGCCTAATGACTGTCTTATTTAAGAAATTACTCATCTGCATTTAAAGTGATAATCTCATTCATTAAAAAACCTGCGTAAAGCGCTCACGCTGTTGAGGGTGATCATAACAATTAGTGAGCTACCTGGGCTGGTGGCCGTCAACATGGAAGTTTCATCAGCCCTCAGTTACTCACATTGTCCTAAACGTAACACACTGGTGTGACTAAATAAGGGATTTGTTGAAAAACCATTTCTGAAAAGCTGTGTCCTCCATTTATTAATGAATTGGTGCAGAATGCATGATTTTGATCACAAAACCCTTTTTGTGGTTCATTGCAGTGATGGCATTGTAACTAGCTTTTTGACTCTCTTGGAATCTGGGAAATCCATTTGAGATCAGAAAGGAAGCTATCTGAGAAGAGGGGTTGTGTTGCCATTGCATACTTTGATTGAGTACTATTGCAGGAATAAACTAAAGGATATAAGTACATGATTGATTTATATTCATGCTTCATAAGCATCCTATTCCTGAACTTCAGGTCTACAAGTGTCTGACTATTATTTGATGTCCAGTTTGCATCTGTGTATTCTGACTGAAGCAGTCATTATGTGGATGCATTTGCACACAATCTCCTCCATGTGTCTTGTGCTGCCAATTTTTGTCATTAAGGCAGGATGCAGGAGTGCCCCACAGTGCCTATTTGCATGTTTTCATGCAGTATTTGGAAAACCTTGCCTCCAAGACGTTAGTTTCCAGAAGGGCTAGTTTCTGTGAAGATAAATGCAAGAAAAGCAAAACAGTTGGCTTGAAAGATACACAGAAAAAAATTTTGCTCTGTTCAGTGAGATAGCAAAAGAATGGTTGAGTGGATTTCAGTGTACTTGAGAAATTGAAGAGATATTTCAACTGTGTAAGGTGTGAATATCTTCTAAGGAGCATCTCAGAAATTTTTTTCTCCATGGAGAGATTTCAGCTTTGGTACTGTGATACTCTTAATACTCCCCTGATAATTTGGAAGCTTTTTTTTTCCATTTTCTTAGTGACTGCACATGTAGGGAGATAACACTGCTGTTAGCTTTCTTGCCCCCTCACTCACGACCTGATTGCATCCTTGCAGAAGGATGGATGATAGAATCTCACAGGCAACATGCTATGTAGCAGATTTGTTTCCTGCAGGTATCTGTATCTCTCTCGGGGCTGTGTTCTTAATAGCCTTTACATCTCAATTATAATTTAGTTACACCTCTTTGTGTTCTTTATTCACAGAAATCACCTGGAAAACCTGCCTGAGTGGGTGTGTGACAGCAGGAAACTGGAAGTGTTGGATGTTGGCCACAATCAGATACGTGAGCTGCCTGCCCGGTGAGTCTTGCATACCAGTTCCACAATGGGGAACAGGATAAACAATTCAAAAATAATTGCTGACTCAGTGTTTAGCTTGTTCCAGTGACTGTCAGGGCTGTTTTATCTTTTGTTTGATTTTATTTTTACCTTGTGGGGTGTCGTCATGCCTCGAGCTTCCACCTAGCCTTTCTTCTTTTACTTTCATGCAGAGAAAGTAGTGCCTTTGAAGCTGTTCATGTGGCTGTTCAGGCAGGAAAGCACTTCATTTTTAGTACTGAATATTAAATATTTACAGCCATAACTTTACATGACAGTTTAGAAATTCAGCACTTGCAGTTTAGTTTCAGTGATGCTTGGAGACTCCAGTTCACAGCCTCATTTGAATGAAAAAGGGTTTAAAGAAGGGAAAGCCTCATCAAGTAAGTAAATTCCTGCAAGAAGAACAATTGCCTTCACTACCAAGATGATCTCTTTTCCAGAAATGTAAACTTAAAATTGATAAATATAAACGATAAAAAAGAAGTCAAGAGGAAGCAAAATAGGAGTTGAGTTTAATAAATGAGTCTTGCTATTATTTGTTCTAGAGAGAGCTGTCTGTTGAATTATACTGCTTAGGTGGTGATGTTGGGCATTTTTAAATTCCTGCCTTCACTGGAAGAGAGCTGTCATTTTAGGTTGTTCTGTACACTTTGAAAGAGATGTTGTGTAAGATGATGATGTATCATGAGCTACTAAATCACAGAATAAGCTAAGTTGGAAGGGACCCACAAGGATCATCAAGTACAAATATCTTCTTTAAGGAGCTGTACAGCACAGAAAAGCATCAGAAACCAACAACGTTTTTTTTCTGGGTCAGGTGGATGTGTAAGATGGTGTAAACTTGTTCATTTTAGTGTCAGAAATGGGAAAAGAGTAGGTTTCAAAAATATGGGCAGAAGAGAATGTGAGGAGAGTTACCAAGCAAACTAGGAGGCTGATGTGCAGACTGTTAATCCCTCTGTTTTTTCATGCACACACACAAAAAAAATGAGGCTGTGCCTTCTCAGAAGGTGGAGGTGCAAAAGTTCATTTTTCTTTCATTTGCACTTCATAACAGCCAGGACTTTCAAGGCATTCCAGATATCTCTGGGAGATTAATGATTAGCTGAAATTAGGTACAGTCAACATCCCACTTGTCTCTCCTGCCATCTTATCATTAACCCCAGGAAATAGCTTATCTTTGAAAGTTCTTCTTTGTAGTATATGTCTAGATAGCTTAGCTCCTAATAAGTCAGCTCAGTTTTAGGGTCCTGTTCCATTTAAAAGGAAGGCTTTGCATATCTTAAACTTTAGGGGAAATTTGGGTCTGGACTCAAATGCAAATGGCTCAATGTGGTTAAGTATTAAGGAAATGCAAGTAAAAACTGAATGAGTGTGTTCAGGTGCTCTGCTCTGTACTTCTTCTTCTACATAGAATAGCATTCTGGAAACCTGTGAAGTGAATCAGCAGGGCTCTCCTAGGAGGCTGCTTGTGACACTTAAACACAAATATTGAAGCCTTGAGTGACCATATTCCTGGTGGGGTGAATATTGCATCTGATCTAAACAAACTACACTTGATACCGTGTGTTTGCCTCTTGAAACAGAAAAATAGTCCTTGAAGACAAAGAGTTGAAGCAGTTGAGATAAAGGTTTCTGTACTAGAATTTGTCTCAATTAAGGGAAGAGGGAAAATGTCCTCTGGACTGTAATGCAACTGTTTTAGCTTTAAAAGTATGAAAAATAACAAAAAAGGGTACTTGGTCTTAGCTATGCAGGACAAATTCATAAAAATCATACTGCCAAAGAGAAAGGAAATGCTTCAATTAGGGGTTGCCAAAATGATATTGTTGCCATCAGTGAATAGATGTTTGTATGTGTTTTTGTTCCTTTTTTTCTGTTTTTTTTTTTTTTTTAAATATCTATCTGTAGTCAACATTGTGTTCTGTTGAAGAGTTGTTTAGTAAAGGAGTTGGTAGAATGCTTGAATGCTTACACCAAACCATGTTTTCTGAGAAGATGCTGCTGATGAATGACGTGCTTGTCCTTAGAATTTATTGATTTCACAAAAACTTCCAGTGGGAATTGGGCAAGCGGGAAAGCTGCCTATATGGAAGAGCAGTCCCAGGATCCTGGTTCCCCGCCCAGCTCGAGAACTAGGCATCCCAGGCTCATCAGGAGCTTGTTTAGTTAAATGCTCTTCAACCTCTTTTCAGCTACCTCAGGTCCTTCAGTGCTTGTCTGACTTAAAAAATAAGAGAAAGCAAATTAAAAAAAAAAAAAACACAACCAAAATGCCCCAAAGATTTACAGAGATCTTCTGAGTTATGGAAAGAGAAAATCTCTGAGGATTTTGGCACAATTTCAGCTCTTTTAAAAATTTTTAAATGATGCTGCCCCCAACCATCCCAGAAAAAAATCCAAGGGTTTTTTTTTTTTTTTTCTGTCAACCAGTTCTGTTTTCTACCCTGATATTTGGTGTTGACAGTATTAGCCAGTCTCAAAAAATAGAATACAAAAGCAAATCCGTAACTGAGAGATTTTTCAAGTAAAAATAGAGCAGACCAAAAATGGTTAAATAATGAATACATAATAGATAGGATTATCACTTTGTTAAGTCTTTTCACCCCGTGTTGAGCCTTCTGGAATGATAGGGCTGGCTGTTGACTTGTATCCATGGCCGTAACTCAGACAACCCACCAAGTGAGATAACTGTTAACACTGGCATGCAGATACTGAGAGTGACGCTATCTGTCAAGGGGAAAATACTCAACGTGCTTGATTGATGATTTTGGCACAATAATCCCATGACCTGATGCATTGTAGGGAAGAGGGTGGGAGGCTTGTTATGTGTATTTGGGTCATTGTGACAGAGGGAAGATTTTTATTTTAATGCTGAATAATTCGAGAGTATTTGATTGAAGCAGGTCAGCATATTGCATGGGCTCGCCAGATTAAACAGTACAGTAGCAGGCATGTAAGACAGATGTAAGACGTGGCAGATGAGGAATAATCTTTTTTCCCTAATTTGTTGAAAGTGGTTTCTGTTCAAAATTGAGAGTTGCTCTATTTTTGGTTTCTTTAGGTGCATGCCCTCATTCCTTTGTTTATCCTGTGAATTTGAACTATAGTGTTTGATCAGAACAGCTATTTTTCACTTTATGTTGCCCTCTTCTCCCTTCCCCTTCTCTCTAGCCCCACAAAAAATGGAGCAGGGGGGTGGGACTCCAGGTCGTCTCTTGGTTGTAAAAACTCGAGAAAGTAAAGCCGATTAGATAAATTTCATTTGCTGTAGAACTGGAAAGGAGGCTTTATGTAAGTCTGGTATTAACAGAAAGAAAAATTGTGGGGGTGGGGAGTTGCACTGGATTATGAGTCAGCACATGATGTGTAGAGCACTGTAAAGCTTGTGGGGTGACTGGTGATTTCACCCCCACTTCTGAAGTGATTGCATTGGCTAGGGGGATCCCACCTGTGCAGATTTCTGCAGCCTTTGTTAGCAATTACCTCCTTCACTGTCATGCTTCTATATTCACGTTTTATACAGTGTCATAAAATAACCCTTTGTCACTACTTTCGCTCCTGAATCATCTGTGAACCTCCTTCCCTGTCTCTGAAAACCTTTTGAAGAAGTTGGTGTAGAGTGGGAAGACATTCTGGGATCAGTGCGTAATTAATATCACGTCTGCTAATCAGTTGGCTGAATCACTTCTTTGTAATGAGCCATGATACCATATTTAAATTATCAAAGGAATTCCTCAGCTTCAATTTTTCTCACTTTTGGTGTTTTTAATTTCTCTGAAGGTTGTTTTACAACAGTAGCTTGCGGAAGCTGCTGGCGGGACACAACATGTTAGCAAGGCTCCCGGATCGGCTCGAGCGAACGCAGGTGGAGGTCCTGGACGTGCAGCACAACCAGCTCCTGGAACTGCCATCCAACCTGCTTCTGAAAGCAGACAGGTAAAATTATAAAGAAATTTGTTCCTTTTGACTTGTATGTGATGAGCCTTGCTTGGCCTGTGACTTCCTGGTTCAGAGGGTAATCTGAGGTTCCTCTAATTTGGAAGTTGCCAAGCCTTGTGTGGTAAGAACAGATGTCTGCCCAACTCACCAGAGCACATTCTTTTTATTCTGGTTTTGTTTCCTTATATGGTTGCTTCTTTTTTCCCACCAAGCTCCTGCTGAACACCTACTTCTTGAAATCTAGCTGTAGAGCTAAGCACATGCTATTTTCTACTACATATACTGAAATGGTTTAGTGGCAGTTTCTTTAAATACATATTTCTTAGGCTTGTTTGATGAAGTGTGAAAGCTTTTTTTTCCCCCTTCAGTCAGAGGCTAGAACTTATTTATACCTGTCAAACAAAACAAAATTTATACATAAGGCTGTCAGAATAATTCAGTTGTTCCCCTGTCCCTACTTTTTGAAATTTTTTTGTGCTTTTTAAATGTTTGTCACTAATTTAGCTGGCGTCACCACTTGATCTGCTTTCTGGATTCTTATTTTTATGGTGCTATTTCTTTACTATCAGAGTCTTCAAGGTTTTGGGGTATTTTTCCGAAAATGAACATATTCTTCAAGTGACTGTGATTGGATAATAGGAGGTTGGTAGCATCATCTGGGGATGGTGAATGGGCTGGCCCCACTTGGTGTCAGCATTCCTTGCACTTCTTCACTTCCACATATAGTCATGGGATTTCTGAGTGCTCAATGCATGCATAATTTAGCAGGCAGTGAGATTGTGTGCTATGGGGGGGGGTTATTTCTGATCCTAGCTGTGACAAAAGGAATGCGAAGCTCCTGGCTTTCTTGGGAGGTGCAGAAGCAAAAGAGGTGGTGATCTCACTGGCAGAGCTCCTTTCCCAATTAAGAGTATTGCAAAACCCCTCCTTTTATGCTGTTGTTAATTTTGTTATGAGCGTCTGGTTAAATTTCCTGGAATTGGCTTGGAGAATTAGGTTGATGGTTGAGATGCTTTTTAAATAAACTCTTTAACTGCTAATGTGTTAAGTTGAAAACAAAATAAACCTTTAAGTAATTTTCAGAGAGCTCCTGGTATTTTGAAAGCAATGAGAGAAATAATTTTGCAAAATTTGTATTAAAAACAGGTTGTAGGGCTGGGATGTAGTGTACCACACTTTTGGCAGAGAGAGAACCTGATTTTTTTGGTACTGCAGCTCATCTGTAGGCAGGGTTGGGGTTTTTTTGTTTGGTTTTTTGGGGGTTTTTTTTGGTTGTTAGTTTTTGGTTTGGTTTGTTTTTTGTGATGCCAAAATGAAAAACTACAAAGCTAAAACCAGGACTGGGGATAGATTCCCAGAAGTTTACTAGGAATATGCTGAGAAGAGGTAGAATTAAGGAATACTTTGAATAACAGTGTTAAGTGGCTGGGAAACTTTTTTTCCCTCTGCAGCTTTTGAGCAGTATAGGGCTGGTGTTTTCAAAGTTTTGTACAGGTCCTAACAAAGTCATGCACCATCACAGGAGGCAAACAGGGCTTTACCCATTCTGACATTTCATCACCAATGCAGCCTCCCCTGGCTGTGATGATAATAGGAATAGATATCCAACCCAGGTTGGCTTGGGTAGTGTTTTCCCTGTTGATCCTTACCCTTTAACTTGATTTAAGATGATAGAGCTTGTCCATGCTGGTTCTCCTATGAGTGCTGCAAAAGTGAGAATTCTGAAGGGAAGCAGCAGTACAGGTTAATATATTTGTGTACAAAGTCAATTTGAAGTTTGGGATTTCCTACATAAAACTTCTTTCCTTTTGTTTTCAAATGGTTGCATCTATCAGCAGCTAAGTGTCAACAATAATGTGTCTGGAAAGGCACTCAGGAGATTGTTTTGGTTTTAAAAAGGTAAAATGCTTCTCTTCTCCAAGCGTTCCCTGGGAAGCACAATCTGTACTGCCAGACGTGCCAAGAGAACTGGTTTTCCTGAGTGGTGTGCCATGGTCTCTACCCAGTGTGTAATATTGGACAAATCACTTTACCTTACAGTACCTTTATCTCTACATAAAATGACTTGCCTTTTACAGCCTCAAAAAGATTTGGGCTTGTTTTGGTTTGTTTTTTTTTTGAAAGGTACTCGGGTCTGTGCAACTGACAGATGATATCTTGTCTGGATATGAAGTCTCATGCTGTGAATTATAAATGCTTTCTCTTTCTCAATCCTGAATATTTGACAAAGTGGGTGTGAAGTGCCTTGGGCAAACTTCAGCACAAGCACTGGTGGGCTTTGACATCTAGAAGAACATCTGAGAAAACAGAGGAAATGGGTGCACTGGTGCACAAAGAGAGAATATCACTTTCACCAAAAAAACCTCATCCAAACCCCAAATACTGAAAAACCTCAGTTCTCTTCACAGAGGAATCTATAAGCATTGATTTTCTGCCTTAATCCTTCAAAAAACAATGAAAAGGTGTAATTTTTTGCTGAAGAGTATAATTAGGGATATTTTGTTGGTCTGCTTTTTAATTCATTTTCTATTTTAAACTGTTAGTCAAGGAGAAATTGAGGACTAGCCTATGACACATCTCTCTGACCGAGATAGAACTTGGTTCTGTTTATTGCACTGAAAGTATGCACATCTTGATCATGTTAGCAAGGATTTCTCTTGTGGGGTGGGGATTTTCTTGGCAAGATCAGTGCTACAGAGGCAGCCAGATAATCTCTTCATTTCTCATTACCATATGCTGGAAAAGCAGAATATTTCATGCAAGTGCTGCAGCTGATGGGGAAAACTCCCAAACTGAGTCCTGAACCTTCTTTTGTGCACCTGCATTCCTGAAGCCTTTCACTTCTATGCCCTGCTGTATCTGTTGTGATGCCTTTTCCACTGTGTGATTCTTGTACAGACATTTACTGCCTTCCTTGAGCAGCCTGCAGGCAAACTACCATTTAATGGCATGGACACTGTTGCACCAAGTGCTCTCCAGATGAGACAAATGAGTCTTCAAGAGATTTAGCTGGGCACAGTAGAAAAACAGTGGTCAGGGCAGGGTTAAAAATGGGGAAGCACAGTGGTAAGATGGGCAAGGGTTTGTCTCTTGCCTAAGCTCCTTTCCAGTTAGAATGAATGCTTTCAGTGGCAACCCTTAAAACAGCCATCAGACTTCTTAAAGCATTTGTGTGGGGAAGATTTGTAGCTGTGATGTGCACAGCTTAAACCTTGGGCTTTGTTTTGCAGTGTCTGGTAGTGGCCAGCTGTGGTGGTTAAGCCAATGTCAGCTATTCAGAGCTTGTCTAGACTGTCTGCAGGATTTTTGTTTTCAGCTTTGTTCAGCTGTTCCTACCTCATTAGATTTTCTCTTTGTTTTGAATTTATTTTATTTGTTTCAGTGGGTTTGGCTTTTGCTGGAGTCCTGGAAGGTGACCCAGTTAAATTTTCTCTCGTTTGATATTTGCCATTTCCACCCACTGTGGCTGCTTCTTTGTGATGCAGGGATTCAGTCCTATCCTGGATGCAGGGGAAGTGTGAGGGAGGAAACCAAGTCAAATGAATGCCAAGTGCTGTTTGATGCACTTGCTTGTGTTGCAGAAATGCTTGGCCACATTTGTCTCTTTGATGCTGGGTTAAGGATTGCAAGCAGGCACTTTAGAAACTGGGGAAATCCTGGTTTATAAAATAGCTAAAGATAGGTTAAAAAGTAAGAGCTGATGAGGGAGCAGCAGTGAAGTGGTTTTTCTGGCAGTCTGTCAACAGGAAGGGGATTCACTTGAGTGTTTCTGTCTTTTAATTTATTTTATTTATTTTTTTAAAGAAGAAATACTCTCCTCTGCACAGGCTGGCAGAACAGCTTTGATTTTTTTCCCCCTCTCTTTTCCCCCCAGACATGCTTAGCTTACAGGATTCTTCCTCACACACCTGCTACCACATTCATAAATTATTTTAGTCTTTGGCAATTGAGGGCATGTCTCTGCAGAAGGCACTGAAGAAGAAATTTTGTGTTTTGATTGCTCTGTACTGATGGAGATCTTGGGGCATAGGCCAAACTGGAGATCTTGATTTCTCTGCAAATTCTCTTTGCAACTGCAGTGTTCTTTCCAACTCTTATCAGTACTTTCAAGCTAAACACTGTGGTTTTGATTTGTTGCTGCTTCACCAAAGAATGCAGTTGTCTGTGTTCCTCTTTTTAGTGTCAAACATTCCTAAGCTTTTTGGAGAATTTACATTTTTTCAGTGATGGCTGTGTCTTGCCAAGCAAGGCAAGTTTGTCAAACTGCTTCAGAAAATGGTGAGGAATTCAGAGGTGCTGTGTTCTCCCAATTGTCTCTATTCAGCTTTTGTGTGTGCTAGACATAGGCAGTGGTAGACAAAGTTCAAACCTTTTGCAGCTTTATATAGAATATATTCTTCCTCTGCTTTTAGAAGTTCAAATTTAGATGGAATCTTCTGGATATGAATAGGGAATGGATATGACAGCATATTAGGTGTTTTTAGTTGAATTAAACCCGTGCCCTTGTTTCTAGCCTATTCTTTTGGGACAGTCCTTTTTCTTATTTTTGTCTTTTGGAGAAGTCCAGCAAGGGACTTAATACCCCAAAAATCCAAAGGTGACTTATTCCAGCCAGAGATCACTGTTAAGGTTATTATTCCAGAGGAGAATATTCACCTTGTCAAAGCTGAAGAATTCAGACATCTCCCTGCCAGCACCTTCATTTCTTTCTTCATCTGCTGCGCTCTTTTTAGTCCTTGTTAATTCATGCTTTCCTGGCTGTGTTGTGCTCTGGTATGTGCACAGGCTGCTGCATCCAGGTCTTTGTAGTGATGATGTAGTTTTTTCATGAGCTTGTGGTATAGTGTGTGGGTGGAATTGGAAAGGGAAAACAATTAATTTTGGACTGAGCTTTAATACTTGACATTCTGCTTCCATCTGATAAGCAGAATGAGTGGGAAATCTTCAAGGAACATGAATCAGTTGAAGTCCATGCACAAGAGGGATGGGAACAGTTGTGCCCAAGTAAATCTCCACTCCTCTGGAGGGCATTTATAAGATGTGCCTTCTAAGGTAGCAGCTGGCACATTGCACAAGGATGAAGAAATAGGGAAGTGGAAATAACCTGTAGGAGGACTTCTGTGTTAAACTAGTGTGAGGGAAAACCTGAGGGGCAACTACAGTTTTAGGTTTTGCTGGGGTTTTTTTGGTTTTTGTTTTAGGGTTTCTTTTGGTTGGTTTTTATGGTTTTCTTTTTTGTTTGTTTTGGGGTTTTTGTTGTTTGGGGGGTGTTTTTTTGTTTTGTTTTGTTTTTAACATAAGATGATAGTACAGAATTGATAAATATTTGGTCTTAGTAATCTGATGGTTCATTATGTTCTCTACCCAAAGAATAGTGTCCCTATTTTATCTTATTTCATTTTTATTTTTAAATCTAGACAATATCTGGAAAGAATTATTATGTCAGAATGTTTTTTGCCATTTCATTTAACAACTGGTCTAAAAACATGTAAGCAAGCAACACACTCATTTCCAAAAGCTGATTTAATTCTAATTATGTCATCTGGAGACAGAGATGAGTGTGTGACTTTTCTGACCCTGGCTGTCAGCTGTTTAAGGTCAGACACTCTGCTACCACAGGGTTCTCCTACTGGTTACCTAACCTTTGTTCACAGCAAGGCAGTAGGCCTTAGGTTAGGCTGATGGGGGTTTATTTCCAGTGTCATTGTATCACTCCCTGGAAGATTTAGCAAAAGATCAGGGTGAGGGGAATGGTCTCTCCCTTCCCCATTAGAAAATACATGCATCAGAACTTATTTCTGACAGGAACATACAGATTCCACTCACTTTTATTACTAGTGAGGGAGCAAATTGAAACATCTTGTTACATTTCACCAATGTTGAAAGTTTATTGAAAACAGAAGAATGGTTAATTTTTTCTTTTGACTCTAAAATGGCTACAGTATAGTACACTGTATTCATTTCAGCTGTATCAGAGTTTTTTATTATCTTTTTTTAATTGAAGCTTTTAGTTGTCCTTTGGGCTAGCAGTTCTTGATCAGACTTCACAGCCACAGGCTATGATGCTCTCTAAATCACCTCTTTGGCCGCTGGTACCTGTGAAGCACTGCAGGTTATTCTCATGCAGCTTGCAAGAACAAAACTAGGATACAGGTCATGCTCTTCTGAAGAAGAACCATTCTCAGGGTGTGTTTTGCTGTCACCTCTTATCCCCATCTTTCTGTGACAACTCACTTTTTCCAGCATCCTTAAACCTAATTGTTTCTTAAGCCTTTCCAGCTTGAGCTGAAGATGACCATTTTGTACTATGAATGGTACAAAAAATACTGTGACTTTAATATTAATCAAAGTGCCTTTATCTTGTGGAGAGGGAAGACTACCATGCACATTTGATTGAAGTTGCCAAAGTAGTAACTGTCTGTACTTTAGTAATAGCTGTACTTGCTGCTGTTTAATTAAGCACAGGATCTGTTAATGCAGTACGCTTCGGTTTAATGATCCAGCCTTGAATGAGCTTAGAATATTTTTAGTTTGTAGCTAAAGGGTGAAATTGAGCATCTTTTTAGAATAAATAAATAAATTAAAAATCTCTTTCAGCTTCTTACTTTCTTCTCTGTACTAATCCTTCCTCTCCTCCCTTCCTTCTCTGGATTTTTAGCACCCTTGTGAATAATGAATGAGCCTGAGGATTAAACTGTTTCTCTGAAGTGGACTCCTCTGTCTGTGTAGAACAGCTAACCTGGTTTCAGTTCTGTGCAGTGCTGAGAGGCTTTTGCTTCTGATGAAAATAGTGGGTTTTTTTAATCCGTTGCCATTCCACGTGACTCCTGTAGCATGCCTGACCCTTATTTACTGCTGAGCAAGACTGAACCAGCTGCTACTCCTGCAATCCATTTCATTCATTAATAGACCTTAAAGGTCAGTGTGGACTCCTGCGTGCATGGGAGCAGCCATCAATATTTTGTCACTTTCTCTTAAGATCGAGGACAGGAGCGCACCTACCTTTTGTGTTCTGACCAGTGGGCTTTGCAGGCTTGAGGCAGCACACTTGTGTCTTTTTCCTTGAATGCAGCCTTGCTCTCTGCAGCTGCCCGTTCCCATGTAGTTGGTAGGAGCAGGACAGCCTGGTCTGAACGCGGTCACTGCAGACTGGCAAGCCCACACTTCCTTCTGCATTGCTCCAAGGCCGTCCTTTCTGCAAACAGAAGGAAGGAAGAGAGGTCCCAAATCTGTTGAAAAGGCACACTCATGCCAGAATTGGTTACTAAAGGATAAATTCCATTTGTTTGGAATTGCTGGTGAGAGTTCTAGCCATCAAGATACCTACAGTGCTGCTGTGATGGTCACCACACTCCCCTAACAAGTCCTCTGCCAACAGAACTTCGCTGGCGGGAATGGGCAGTGCCTATACCTCAGCAGGTCTTATTCCCATCCTGGAAAAGGCCTTTGGGGGAGAAAGAATAGCTCCATTTCTGTGCTCCTTTAGTTGTTGTCCCTTGTGGTGGGACTACAAAAACATGGGCTTCTGCTGTGTTGGGGCACAGGGGAAGGGCACTCAGAAAAGCTATGCAGAGATAAAGCTCTCTTGCTGGGCACATCAGCAAGCAAGGATGTAACTTTTAAAGTTTAATTTGCTACGAGCATAGTTTCTCTTTAAAATTAAAAGCATAAATTACTGTTTCGTCTCAGGTTTTGGTTTTTGTTGTGATTGTTGCATCTTTATTCATTCAAATATTCAAAGAGTATTTTTCATATTTTGCTATTGTTTTCAGGCCTGGATGTTTGAACAAAATACTGTCTGCACCTTAGACCAATACTGAAAAATTATCTGGCTTTTTTACCATTGACTTGTTTAGTCACTTGAAAGGCAACTCTCATGGTTCATTGATGATGAATACAGAACTCATTTTTACATGTAATGAGTATGGAAATGATGTGGTTTGTTATTGCTCTTACCTGTAGCTACAGCTATAGTACCATTGGAGATACAGAGCTCTTGATAACAGGAGAGAGGCACTTTGATGTACTCTGTTTGCTGATGTTTTGTTCTTACAAATGTGGTTATTAAAAATATGATCAGAAGTTTTGCTCATGTAATGCCACACTTTTGGTCTGTTGTGAACTTGTTGCTTTTGACCTTTACCTTATGACTATCTTAAGTTAACTCTTAAAAATAGAGATTTTTATTTATATTTCTAGACAAAACCTGCAGGATGTTTGACTGAACTCCTTTATGTAACTTCTCTTTGCAGCCTGAGATTTCTTAATGCCTCTGCCAACAAACTGGAAATGCTTCCTCCAGCCACCCTTTCTGAAGAAACCCATAGCATCTTGCAGGAGTTGTATTTGACCAATAACAACCTCACAGATAAATGTGTACCCTTGTTGACAGGCCACCCACACCTGAAAATCTTGCACATGGCTTACAATCGCCTACAGAGCTTCCCTGCAAGGTAAGGAACTTGTTTCACTGTCTCTGGCCCACGGGTGGGTGGGCATCATGAACTGTTTTCACAGTGAGAACTGAATTGCACAGGAATGTGGTGGCAGAGGCTGCATTTTGGGTGCAGTGGTACCACAGTGGGTGGACTCCCCTGCTTACGCCCTCCTGCACATTGGTTCCCTCTCTTGCACTACAGACAAGTGAGTGATGCTTGTTACTTGGTGAGTTTTCATGGTGCTTGAAACTCTTCTCAGCTGGACTAATTCAGCATGATCACTCTATGCTTTTGGAAGCCAAGAAAGGAGATCCTCTGTTCTCCCTGGCCTGGTAACTTTGCTTACACTTGGTGAGCTTCTCCTCACAAGAGATTTGTGAGCACAGCCGCCTGGAAATGTCCTCTGGAAGTGGACTAAACTCCACTAGGGAAAAATCCTCTCAACTCCAGAAGGAGATTCTGCCTTGGCAGCAATTTCTGTGCTTCCAGTTCACTCTGTTTTAATCAGAAATCTTTCAAGTGTAAGATGTGCTGTAAAACTGATGGGGTACAACCTTGAAGAAGAGATGCCAATAAATAATGGAAGAGACATCTCTGTCCTTGTGTGATATTCTGAGCAGCTGGGCTTCAGTAGCAAGGAGAAGGAGATGCATTTAGGGGGAAGGGCTGGGTGGGGTGCTAGAAGCAGGAGGGGAAAATGTGAGGTAGAGAGATGTAGTGACAAACTAGAGTTGATAGAAAGGGGGAGAAAGGAGGAAAGAGTGAAAGTGAGCTGGTGAGTAGGGGGGATGTAAGCAAAATAAGTAATTTGAAAGGTAGCGTTAACAAACACTGACAGAAGAAGTACACATTTTGTTCCACAACTGTGTTAGCATCTGACATGAGGAGAGATGACAGTCACTGCTGTGAACAAGAATCAAAGTCTGTGATGTTGTTCTCTGACAGTAACAAAACCATTGGTCTTATCACCGCTTCAAAATAAAATATGCATCTATTAGAAGAAAAATTCTCAAATTCTTGTTTTTATAGCAAAATGGCCAAGCTGGAAGAGTTGGAGGAAATTGATATTAGTGGGAACAAACTGAAAGCCATTCCAACAACCATCATGAACTGCAGACGTATGCATACTGTAATTGCTCACTCCAACTGCATTGAAGTCTTCCCAGAAGTCATGCAGCTTTCTGAAATAAAGGTATGGAATGAATGTGCTTTGGAAGAAGCAAGCGTAATGCAATTTTACCAATTCTTTTCTGCCCTCGGGTCTCTCATTGCTATGGGATAGTATATTCTCAGAGAGTATGGGGATCTGACAGCTGCTTTCTCCTCTGAAATAATATGCAAAATATTTGCCCTGTGCAGCCTCAGAGTGGAACGAAGAGGAGCCTCAAAATCTGATTTTACGCTTACCTTGGTTGCACTGTATTTTTTCTGGCAGATAAGTGTTAATTGTCTTCCTGTGACAGTCCGTTTTGATACGACTTAAACATTTGGCAAGAGCTGTGTGTAATTAACTCTTGCTGCCTTGGCAATTGGGTGATTCTGTAGGAATGGACTTTGTTTAGAGCATGTCTTAAAAACCAAGGAAGCTACAGGATAGACCTCAGGGACAGAGATAAATTCAAGGAGCACAGGATTTGAGTATTTAGGCAATCAACTTTCATTTTCCTAATTGCAGTCCTATTTTGCACAACAGGAAGATTAGCTAATCTGTCTCCTGTCTGTGTTTCCAGAAGTAATTCTGTACTTTTTCCGATGTTTCTTTTTGAGGGAGGCGTTCTTCACTTGACCACACTATGAACGCTATTCCTTACCTTCTGTGAACTGAGTTCCTGCTTCTCACCTGGCTCTAGTGCAGAATAATTTGCACTGTGTGCCCTTTCTGCCGGACAGAGCTGGGAGACTGTTGTCTCACAGCATACAAATCTTGTGATACAGCAGAAAAATCTGTCCTTCTCTGAGGCTGAGAACTGATTACCTATTCAGGGACTCAAAACAACTTCAGTGTCCTTCTGGCACTTTGTGAAGTCAAAAGGCTAAGTTCCCAGCCTGCTGTGTGTGCCTCAGTGTCTGGGGTCATGGAAAGCAGCAGGAGCAATAATTCTGTTGGACAAGCGAGTATATGTAAAGATGAGCTTTGTGGTTTCAGCCAGGAAATCTCAAACAAACTCGTGGGTTTGAATACTCCTCCCTCTTTGGAACAATGGTCAGAGGAAGCAGAGGGCCATTTAGAATCAATCAGAAGTAAAGCCTTTTTTCTCAGAGGAAGAATTGGGGTGGGGGAGTGAGGCTCTGCATGGTAAACATTTCTTTAAAATGTGAGGGTGGTGTTAACAAAAAAAAAGATAGCATAAACATACTGATAGGGAACAGTCACCTTTTTCCTTTTGTTTGTGCATCTTGGAAAAAACAGAATGCTTTATAGAGGTGTCATATTTAAAGTGCTACTTGGCCAGATTGAGCAGCAGAATGCTCTTGGAAGAGCTGGCAGTTTCTTCCTGCTGGTTCCCTATGGTTTAGTTCTCTTCAGCAAAAGAAAGAGACGTGGACGTCACTAAGTGGTTTGGGAATGCAGGGATAACGTGTGGCTTAATCTAAGAGGGCAAAGTGTTCTTTGACTCCACCTTGGTGGAAGGAAAATGCCTGGTCAGTGGTCAAGCCTAGTTTTGACTTAGATGAGATGGGTGCATACAGTTGCCCGATGGGAATGTGCCTCGTTAGACATAGGGGCTCTGGCCTTCGGGTGATTTCTCTAGGTCAGGGTTGGTGTTTATCAGTCTGGAGATTAAGCATGTGCTGCCTGCCTGTATCCATTTCTTGCCTGTACTCGAGCTCCTTCTTAGATAAGGGGTGGCATTCAAAATATGCTGAAGTGCAGAATTTATTTCTTTAACCATGGATTTGGTCACTTGGTGAAATAAGCTTGTTTGTAGCAAAGCACCAAGTCATCTAGTCTAATGTCACCTCTGTGATTATATCATATTTGATGAATAATTTTAACTGAAGTGACATTCACTCTAAACTCCTGGGGAAACTCTGTTACCTGAGGTAATGGCTGTTTTGTTTCTGTATTTAATTAGCCTGAGAGGCTGACGTATGGTGTTTTTGGTGTCAGTGTCACTGGGACAGTTAGTAGCAGCAGTTACTATGCTGTCTGAAATTATTTCAGAAGGAAGATTAGGGTAAATGATGATGCTTTTACAATTGCAATAACTCCAGGACTTCCAGACACAAGGTCATTTTAAAGATACAATTGTCTCTAAGCCTTTTTTCTTTCACACTACAGTCAGGGCTACAGAAGTTGTGTGTTGTCCTCTCTTTTCAAGACCCCAGTGGAGACATTGGACAATATATTTTTAGGGTTTTTATTGTCTTTTATGACAGGTATTTATACTGTCAGAGTTAGGTTTGCCCTGTGCACCCTGAAATGTCTTCTGTGAACGGCCGAGCAGCTGGAAGCGCTCACACCTGAGTCAGTGCCCCAGCAGACTCTTCCCTGCAGCTGTTGTGTGACTTCCTTGCTTTGCCAAAACAAACAAAAAAAAGCCAAATAGGATAACATTGGTATGACCACCTTCAGCAACAAGTGTAAATAACCCAAGTCCCTTCCAGCCTTGAACACAACAGTTACGAAGCTGTGAAAACAGCAGCCTAAGCAGATGCTCCCTGTTAAACCCTGTCTTCCAGCTGGCCCATCCAGTGCAAAATCCTGTGTGCAGTTGCAGTTGTTCTTCTGGTGCTGCATGGGTGGGGCAAAACCAGCTTGCATTAAAATAACACAGGAGGAAATTGGGATAAGTTAGGAAATAAACTTTCCTGCTTGCCTGGGGAGTAGAACAAAGACTAAATTTAACACAGCAAGTCCCTCTTAGCCTATTCTTCAACAAGTACAAGCAATTCCTAAGAAACTCCAACCTGATAAATAAACCATCTTCACTAGTGCCTAGGAGCCAAGGGATCTGCTGTAGAGTGTCGCTGTCCTTGGCACACTGGGCATTTAAGAAGAACAATGAAATTACTGGTGCTTGTACTTTTCATTCCAGCATGCTCTGCCATCAAATATGTACTGGCATGGAGGTGTTGAACACAGCAAGGCCTGCTGGCAGCTTCCTTAATCTGCAGAGTAATTACTGGCGCTGGAATAACTGCTGCTAAGCTGTCTGCTGTTTTGTTTGTGTGACTGATTCAAACTCTGATTTCTTATCAGGCTTAGATAACGTCAGCAGTTTGTTCTTCATAGATAATAAAGCTTCCATAATAGACAATCTCAGGATTCAAGATTTGGGTCAAAAATTTTTATTTTCGTTGCGCTTTTAAAATAAAATGGTTGGAGACTGTTCTTTTCCAGGATTTAGTAGGTTATCTTGTGTCTGCTTCCAGATCAGGAGCCGAGGTCTTTGAATATACCTGCAAAAATGAAAGTGCCTCTCTTACGTTGATGGAAATTACAGAATGGTCAAAATGTGCAGCTTGAAAAAGTCTCCCTCTGCCCCTTTCAGCTCTTCTATTAAAGTTTCTGAAGTCTCTCACTTTTGCAACTTGAAAGTAGAAAATGGCCTTTCAGAAAGACGTGGATAGTTCTTCTGTCCTCTGTTAAATACCAATCTGCTCTGTCCTCTCAGAATTACATTTTTTTCTTCAGTTTTTGGGGCATACTACACTAGTCATCCTTCTAGTAGTTTGGAGATTTGATTTTGTTCTCATATGCCCTATTTTTCCCTGTGTATTAACTTTCATTTGAATATGCAGCTTTAAGCAATGTTTGGGGACTTTATCATATAGTGCACTTGTTCTAGCTAATTTGTGCTTAGCTGGTAGACAGCCTGCAAGTTTCTTTGCTGTTTTGTATTTTTGAAATACTTATTTTTTTCACTCTTTTTATTGATTTTGTATTTAAACACAAATGCATCTAAGATGACTAATTAAAACCACGTTTAAAACTGCTCCAATATTTCCCCCCTATACTCCTCCCTTCCACATACATTAAAAACACTGCTTTTTTTAATATCCCTCAGTAAATACTGAATTCCTGGGAGCCTGATGCCAGTGGCTTAGAAGCCCCAGCTGTACTTACCTCCATTTCCTTTGTCTATTAAGAGACTGTTTTCATTAATAATATTTCTTTAAATTACTTTGAAAATCCACTGACTATCTCTGTGAAGAGCAGACAAAACTTACTGGTTTTGTAACAAGATGACACCTGACTAGAGATGGAAATGGAAGGAACATATTTCTAGGTGTCCCAGACATCTGGCAAGATGGTTAAATGCCATGTAAGAATTTCTTTTGTAAGAACCACTTACTTAAATGAATGGTCTTGGGTCTTGATTGCAGCCTTTATTGTTCGTGAAACATGCATTACCACATTTAGTCAAAATTTGTATTATCTTGATGACAGCTGAATTCTCTTGCTTTTTTGGCTTCTTTCCTTTTGCAGTGTGTGGACCTAAGCTGCAATGAACTGAGTGAAGTCACATTGCCTGAAAACCTGCCTCCAAAACTGCAGGAGCTGGACCTGACTGGAAATCCCAGATTAGCCCTGGATCACAAAACCCTCGAGCTTCTGAAGTAAGTTACCTTACAGAGTGGGGAAGGAGCAGAGCAATTCTAGATGTGCAAACCACAATACACAAGTGGAATCTCTTTCAAGAGATTTGATTCCCTGTTGCCAGTGGATCAGAAAGTAACAGATAGTGTGAATAGGTCTGAAATTGATGCTTCATTGAAGAGGATGACTTTACCCAATTTGGTGCAATTGCTTTCAGCTGTAACTCCTGGAGGGTCTGCTAGTCTGATGTAAGCACTGTTGGGCCAGTTGGATTGCTTTTTTTTCTGACACTAAATTCAGCCAAAAGATGTATTTTATACCACTGATGAGATATAGCTGCTTGCCATATCTTTTTGTTGCATTCATCCTGCTTGGGTCTGTCTTTGCCATTGTGCTGCTTTTTACCTCTTCACATACTGTTTCTTGTTCCCCTTCATATCTGTCTGCTTCTGTGCTAGAAATTATATGGTTTTTTTATATTTAAACTGCTAAAGACTCACTCTGTTTGCAGAGAAACTGGTTCCTTTGCTTTAGGACCCTCAGTTTCCTTCTTGTCTACCTGTTTGTTTCCTGTGGGATTTAAGTGTCATCCATAACTGAAATTCCCGAAGTGTTTTGTCCCTTCTTCTGCAGTGTGCTGAGGAGCTATTGCAGTAAACCAGATAATCTGTGGATGGTGGTGCTGCCTTGAACTGCACCAGCTCCAAGTTTCCTTCTAAATCTCTTTTATTCTTAAACCTCAAATGGTTCCAAGAAGGATTGATTTACTTTTTAGGGGTTGAGTAATTACTTCACGTTGTTTGCTTTTAAATGGTTAAGATCAGACACTGGAGCAGCAATCCTCATCTGTTGTGCAAGCAAGGGAAATTTACAGTGTGAGTTTATTTTTAGCTTGAATCTGCAGATTTTGAAAATATAGGTGGAAATTTGAGTAATGATGATTTCTCAGAGATGAAAACAAGAGTCCACATTCTGCAGCAGACAGTGAAAAAAGGGCCATGCCTCTGTTTTAAGAGTTGTTCTTTGCATACAGGGAATCTTCCTGAAGAAGCAGTGTGTAATATTGCTCTGGTTCATAGGGGAAAAGCTATACATGTTTTATAGAGTTAATGAATGGTGTCAAAACTTAGAAAACACCAGCTTTTCTTATGTATAACCCAGAAGACAAGATGGTCACACGTTCTCTTGCCACTTTAGTATTCAGGCATCGTGCATGGTAGCATTCTTGTACAAATTTAAATTCAAAGTAGTTGAAGAGTAGTGTGGCCCAGTTAAATGCTGTATTACCACTGGCATATGTGTGGTCTTTAATTCACAGAAAACTTTTCCCTCTTGCACGTGTATTTTCCTTGCTATTTGTTTTGGCATTGGCAGTACGGGTGGGTTTTTTTGTTTGTCGGATTTGTTGGGTTTTGTTTTGTTTTTTATTTTTGGGGGGAGTTTTTTGTTGTTGTTGTTGTAGTATTTGTTGGGTCTTTTTTAGTTTTGGGTTTTTTTTAAAAATTATTATTAGTCTTAAAACCACAGGTCCATTCTGTTCATTTGTGTTCATTAGGCACAGTCAGGTATTTCAGGCCTCCTAAGGGGTTTCTCAGTGTCTGATATGCTACCCTTACTTTTATGGTATTCTGCTATAATTGTCTGTGAGGGAGGAGGTGCTTCTTTCACTTGATTCTTGTGGCAGGCACAAAAATACTTGTGCACTTGGTACTTTTTATATCCTCCTTCTGCATGTGAAAGGCAGCTCTCCATCTGTGCCCTGGCAGAATTCAAGCAGGTAGTAGGTTAATATGTATTCTCAGTGCTGGTGAGAAGAGTCCTGTCATGCATGCTTGCTTTTTTAGTATGTATGGAGATCTTAAAGGAAGCTTGCATACTTAGGAGGATGTTGCCAAGTGATTTATTGGATGCAAGAATTTTCATTAGCAATTAAAATCAAAATGAAGAAAAAAAAAAAAAGATCTGTTACTCTGATTTTTAAGAGCCAGCATCTAGTTCAATTGTAACAGTCATTTTAAATTAAGGGGAAAGGAAGCCAGGCTGTCCAGAAGCCTTGGCCTGTATAGGATGTTCTGCTGGGTATCATTCCCTTCAGGACACATTGTCTGTTTGTACTGGTTTGTGCCCCTGAGGAGGCTGGAACCAGTGTGTTGAGGTAGCTTTTTTTATTTTTTCCACCACTGCTGGGAAGCCTTGAGACAGCTCTGGGTCCTTGACCTGCCCAGGAGCCAGAGGTCAGTCAACCCAGTTAAAAAAGAAACAAAAAGAAACTTTTGTGACCCAGGTTCCTCTGCCCTGGAGATAAATGCCTTGTATGAGAAGTCTGCAATGCAAGTGTGTTTGCTTATGGGTATGCTGCTTTGCTAGTGCAACAGAATTAAAATCTCTGCTACTTTAGAAGAGATCCAGGTTTCCAGTTTGATTTGGGGGTAGTTAACCTTTTTAATAGTCATGGCAAGATGTTTGCCTCCTCTTTGTCACACAGAGGGCTGCAAAACCAAGAACTTAAACCACAAGTGGTTCCAAAATTATTTATGTGATTTGGCTTTTAGTCTGCCCTCACTGATGTACATCCTGGTTATTAATGTAAAAAGAAATCAAACTGGATGTGACAGTACTTTAGGTTATTTGAGGAAGGCTTCGCAATGCAGAACTTTCCTGTGTGTTCAGGTCAGGTGGGGATTTAGAGGAAAAACGAATGCTCAGAGTGAACAGTTAGACCTTTCCTTTTTTGTTCCATTTGGTTCATGAAAGGTTTGGGTGCCTTTGAAGTGTCTGCAGTGTGTGGGGAGCTCGCTTTTCCTGCCTTTGGAAGAGAGCAGTAGGGAGCAGGGGTAGGTCATCTCTCCCAGCAATGCAGGGCTGTGAAGAGAAGAGTATAAACAGAGAGGGCTGGGCCCTTTTTAAGTCTTTACTATGCTCCAGGAGATACTTGAAATTCAGGCTAAAGGCTATGTTGGTAGTAAATTGGAGGGTAGAGGATCAAGGGCCTTTGTGAAAATTGGACTGCACAAATGGGGAATGCAGAAGGGCTATGCCTGCTGTTAGGACCACAGGCTGACTCTTGCAGGTTGGTGCAGGATCAGGATGGGGCTGATTTCTGTTTTGTGGGTATTTTCATTAAAGGCTGTTACTACATATTCTTGTTTCTAAACAACTATTTTAATTTTTTTTTCCATTTAGGGGGTGCTGTGGGTCATACAGGAGATTTCATTTGAGTCCAATGAAAAGAGCGCAGAAACTTGTTAAAATGTGTGGAGATGCATAAGTTTAAAAAGTCACTTTGCTATACTGGCTTTCATCAAACTAGTGGCAAATTAGCTCTGTATTCGTGCAGGGCCTGGTTTGAACCAAATAGCTCAGGGGTGAAGGCAGGGAAATAGAGGCCAGCTAAACAGAGTAGTGCAGCTGACAGCTCAGTTATTGTTGGTTGCACACAGGCACGTAAAGGTAACCACCACCTTGGATGTCCTGCTTTGTTTTCTACTAGTAAATGTCTTACTAAGACCTGAGAGAGTAAAAAGAGTGTCCTTTTCACGTTTGAAGTTGGATCATCAAGTCAGCAAGTCCATCCATTGCCTCTCTCCCCTTTCCTTTCTCCTTGCAGCAATATCCGGTGCTTCAAGATCGACCAGCCGTCGGCGGGCGACGCGTCGGGGGCGCCAGCGGTGTGGAGCCATGGCTACACGGAGGCGTCCGGCGTCAAGAACAAGTACGGGCGGGCCCGGTGCTGTGTGAGAGCGCCTCTGTGCCGAGACAGAGAGATGCTTTCCTCAGTGCAAGTGTGGGGACGTTCCAGGGTTTGCAGAGGCCACGCCACATCCCTCCATTTGTGTACCGAGCTCTCCTGCCTGGCTCTCCCTTTGGGTCTTTGTTGGGGAAGTTGCTAAGATACAAGGGCAGCCGACACATTTGGTCTGTGCAAGACTCTGCTACTTGCAAAAGATCTGAGTGTTTAAAAGCATTTTCCTCTCTGCAAAGCTTCTTTATCTTCAACCAAAGGATGTTTACCAAGCAAATCAGAGATACTAAAGAAGAGACAGAATGGCCAAAACTCTGAATATTCATAGTGTGTGGCGCTCCTGTGACTAAAGGCAGCACTTGACAAATAATGTACCAAGAGTCTGCTAGTCTCTGTGTTGCTGGCAATGTCATGAATCTTTCTTTGTTCCTCAAATACCTTTTTAGAAATCTTCTGCTACCTAGGTTTCCGTAGCAAGTGCCAGCAAGCCTTTGATTTGACACACAACTTGGTTATCAGCACGCTAGATCCCAAGGATGGCTTTTGGAGCAGCAAGTGCCGTTTAAATTGGTGTTGCTTCAGAGATACTTTCCCTCCCATTTTTACAATAAGAAATTCACGTGCTGCAAAGGAGGAATGTGATGGTGTTCACAGGGACCCCAGGACCAGGGAAGAGATGAGAATGTTGACTCCATGTTTCAGAAGGCTTGATTTATTATTTTATTATATATGTTATATTAAAACTATACTAAAAGAATAGAATAAAGGATTTCATCAGAAAGCTAGCTAAGAATAGAAAAAGAATGATAACAAAGGCTTGTGACTGACTGAGACAGTCTGAGACAGCTGGGCTGTGATTGGTCATTAATTAGAAACAACCACATGAGACCAATCACAGATGCACCTGTTGCATTCCACAGCAGCAGATAATCATTGTTTACATTTTGTTCCTGCAGCCTCTCAGCTTCTCAGGAGAAAAAATCCAAAGGAAAGAATTTTTCATAAAACATGTCTGTGACAGAGGACGAATCCTTAGGGCTTAGCTGGAGTCTCCAGTGTCTCTCCCTGTTTTAGCACTGTTGATGGGCCTGACTTGACCCCACAACTCAGAAAGCAGTCCTGAAATACCTGTGACTGAGGTGGTTAAACCTCAGAGCAGGCTGCATCTCTCTGGTCAAAATGACAACTTGAGAAACTAGTAGTGGGATAGAACCCCTGATGTTTTCCTGCTTTGTTTTTTCCCTAGGCTGTGTGTGGCAGCACTTTCAGCCAACAACTTCTGCGACAACCGGGAGGCGCTTTATGGAGTGTTTGACGGGGACCGCAATGTGGAAGTGCCCTACCTGCTGCAGTGCACAATGAGTGACATCCTGGCAGAAGAGCTGCAGAAAACAAAGAATGAGGAGGAATACATGATCAACACGTTCATTGTTATGCAGAGGTGAGTCTTGGATCTGAAGGGTTTTTTTTACCTTGTCTGTGCTGACAGTGCAGTTTCTTTGCTTTCGGGTCAGGCACCTGCTCTTGCTTGGAAGAAATGTGGGAGGCGGGGAAAAGCCTTGGTATCTGGCTACAGTGTTTCCTTTTATTGCTTGTTTTGTGAATATTGCCTCAGTTCCTTTAAGGTGCGGGGAGAAAAATCCCAATACCTCTCCAACCAAACAAAAAAATCCCAACTCACCTGCAAAGTTACTAAAATGCTCATGCCTAAGTGGTGGGTGGAGGTTTATTCATTTTTGGTGTCATCTCCTGAGTATTAAGGTTTACAATTGGCCATACCCAAGTCAGTGGTACCAATGTCTTGATCATCTTTTTAAACTTCCTTGCTACAACTGCCTGCAAAGCCTGAACTCATCCTTTCTGTTTCTGCATACCAATTCAGGTTATTTAAGGTTATGCAAATATTTAAAACACATAGTCTGACTTCTTAGAAATCCCTTTGGCCTTTGAATATTATTTAAGCAGGACCAATCACAAGCTCCAGAGAGTTGTGAGTCACTGTGAGTGTAATAGTAGTTCTGTGTAGTGGTTTGGAAACTGTGTGTGCTGTTCTGGTCAGAAGAAGAAATTGTGCCTAGGGAGACACTGGGGGAAGGAGGAGTATGAAGGGAATTGAACAGAGGAGAGTGAAGAAGTCAGGGAAACAAGAGGAGAAAGCAAATAAGCAGCTTAGAGACTGAGTAACTGGATCAAATTGAAAGTAGCATTGCTTCTTGTTGAATTTCTGCACCCTTGGAAAGGAACAATACTGAAGTTGTTCTATTGGAAAAGATAGGGAAGCAGTAGGGTGGCATTGACTCTTACATACATAAGGGAGAAAACACTTCCTTCCCATAATTGCTTATAACAGTGCCTCAGACTGCTAACTGAGAAAGTGGTTGCCATATACTTAAAATATTCAAAAATAATAACAAATTTGAGTACTGGAAGTACTTATTAAGTAGTTTTGTTTTTTGTTTGCTAGTAATGCAATTTACGAGGAATGCAACATTCCTACAAAAAGCTCTTTTTTTCTTTTTTTTTCCTTTCTTTTTTTTTTTTTTTTTTGGAGAGCCAGAAATAGTATTCATTCCATTTGCGTTTAGACACTCACTGACGCTTACAGATGATATGCAGCACTCCTAGAGTTTAGAGTTTTCTATTTGTAAAACATAATGTAGAAAGCACATTGAGGCTTGGTTGCAAATTTTCTTGTCCATTCTCTCCTCAGGATTCTGATATTTTATTTTTTTGGTCATAATTTGTTTAATTTTAAGAGCATTATCCTGAAGATATCACAAAACAGTGAATCTCTGCCTTTTGCTCAAAAGTAGAGGGTTCTTACAGGCAGAATTATTATTTTTATAACAAATTCCATAGCTTAAAAGCCAAAGCTCTATCTGACCTTTAAACAAATATCTGTTAGATGTAAAGGAAAAGACAGCTGTGAAACTCTTAGAAGTGCAAAGATTTTTTTTTTTTCTAAAATTGAGCATATTTGACTATCTGCATATGTGAAAATAACACCCTGCCTGAGAGTTGCACGTGGGATCCCTGCAGTGCTGCTGCTGTAGTGTCACAGTCTTCAGTGGAGACTTTTGTTTCTGTCCCAGTGATCAATGGAGCCAGTGCCCCGAATGCTTCTGGTTGTGGAACAGCGACTGTTTCTCCACAGTGCTCCTAATACTTGTTTTCCAATTAAAGAACAATCACTGTTTTGTTTAAATTCCAGGAAACTTGGAACAGCTGGACAGAAACTTGGAGGCTCTGCTGTCCTTTGCCATATAAAACACGATCCCATGGACCCTGGTGGATGCTTCACGCTAACCTCAGCAAACGTGGGGAAGTGCCAAACTGTTCTCTGCCGGAATGGGAAACCTCTGCCTTTGTCCAGGTGTTACGTGATGAGCTGTGAAGAAGAGCTGAAGAGGATTAAGCAGCATAAGGCCATTATCACAGAGGTTAGAGAACAGCTGGGGAGTTGCAATTTGCAGCTTCTTTGGAGAGCATTTGCACAGCAGTGCATGAAATTACGTGTTGATATCAGTAACCTCTAGGAGGTGGTGTTCATGTGCGAGTTTCTTAGTTGCACTTCTGCTTTCAAGATGATTCATACCATGCAGTCAAGTTGCTTTTCCATTCCATTGCCATGCTGGATTTCCATTAGAGTGAGCAGCTGTTAGCATGTTGCATTGAAACAGGAAAGCAGATACTCTCCTTCTAATGGGAGAGGAATTGCTGTGTTGGAACTGTCATGGAGAGCTTTTCCAATTAAAAAGGATGAGAGGGCAGAGCACTTGGAGCAATGCCGTCCTTCCCTTAGGAGACTCCTTGCTCCTGGCAGGCTGACTTTGCTGTCTGAGCTGTGTTCCCAGAACTGCCCTTTGACAGGCTGCTCTTGAAGAGAGCACTTGCCCAAGAGGAAAACTCACCCTGTGCTCAGCTGAACCATGAGAGAGGAGAAAACTGTTTGTTCCTTTCTTAGAAGCTTGAAGCCACTGCTGTCAGTTTTGCTTTGGCTTTTGTGACACATGCAGAGGAATAGATAAATATCGAATCCTCCTAATGGTGGGGGAAAGGGCAGAAACCTCCCTGCTGTGTGCCTGAGAGCAGAGTGGGCATGTGTGTGTGGAGTAAGTCTGTTAATCTTGCCTGGGAAAGGTGAGGGCTGGGATCTCAAATGTGACAAGTTGAAAGGGAGTTACTCCAACATTGTGTGCATCAGGGAGGCACGCTCATTCTGTGGCTCCATAGAGGAAAAAGGAAATTTCTGGGCTGAATCTTCAGATGACTCACTGATTTTATGTACACTGATGGCTTATCACTGCTGTCAGCCTTCTAATGGGAAAGTTAACAAGCTGACATGGGGGCTTTTTTTTTTCCCTGAGTGATTTTAAAGAGGAAGCTTTCTTAGTCCTGGTTCACTTTTCTGTGGTTATCTGCTTTATAATAACCCCTACAGTTATTAGCTGGACCCAAGGAGTGTAAATCCTCACCTTTGCTGTTCTTCTTGAATATGCAATTAGCAGGTGCAGCTATCCCCAGCAGGCTGACAGATAGCCAGACTTGCTCTTTCAGACACTTGCTCTGCTTATTCTGGCAGCTTGGATTCTAACCAGGACAGGATTCTGAGATTTGGATGTGCATGGGATTCTATTCTCAAATGCGTCTCTTTTTACTGATGTTGTCCCTTTAGATACTACTCCTCCTCCCTTTGGAAATGTCATATCTAAGTGGAGATGTAGTAAGTAATTGGGGCGTGTAAAACATTTCACTACAACTCAGCTGACTGAGAAATGCAAACTTGCTCTCTGCTACATTTGACTTGCATGCTTAATTTAAAGGGCTTTTTAAAATGAACCTTGGTTTCTAAAGTGATGAGCCAAGATGGAACCTACAATTGTTAAAGCTGCAAGAGAAGACTTGTGACTGAATGAGCTGCCCCTGTATCAAGTGTGTGATGCTTTGCTCTGTCTAAAGCCAGATACAGGGTGGAGGAGGGATAAGTCTGACTCACTGGTAAAAGATTTGTCCAGTTGGCTCTTGCAGCTGCAGGAGCAGAATAGATGGCTCTTTGTTGCAGCCTTCTGCTTTGTTGGTCTGTGCATAGGTGGTGCTGATGACAAATCAGTCGGGTGTAGGAGGCACAGCGCAGCGTTGCAAACATCCCAGCTCTGTCACCTCCTTGCAAGTCACTTTGCTTGTCTGTCTCCTTGTCTGTGAGTGGCAGTGTTGGGGGTACTGCAAAAACAGCCATCAGTGGAATACAAGGACAGGCAGGTACTGTATATCCTTGTCTATCTTGTTGCCAATTTCCTGTCCTTTCTAATTTCAGGATGGCAAAGTGAATGGTGTGACAGATTCAACAAGAATCTTGGGGTACACCTTCCTTCACCCAAGTGTTGTGCCGCGTCCTCACGTCCAGTCCATCACCTTAACTCCTCAAGATGAGTTCTTCATTCTGGGGAGCAAGGGGCTGTGGGACAGCCTCTCCATGGATGAAGCAGTTGAGGCCGTCAGAAACGTGCCTGACGCGCTGGCGGCCGCCAAGAAGCTTTGCACTTTGGCCCAGAGTTACGGCTGCAACGACAGCATCAGCGCCGTGGTGGTTCAGCTCAACGTGACGGAGGACAGCTTCTGCTGCTGTGAGCTCAACGGGGTCCCGCCCCCCAGCCCAGGCATCTTCCCCCAGTCCGTCAACGTGGTCATCAAGGACAGGCCCGCGGACGCGCTCGGGATGCCGTCCTCAAGCAGCGGCATGGCCTCCGAAATCAGCAGTGAGATCTCCACCTCAGAAATGAGCAGCGAGGTGGGCTCCACGGCCTCGGACGAACCTCCCCAGGTGGCCATGAACGAGAGCAGCCCCGCGTACCCTGGGGAGCAGCGCTGCATGCTGCACCCCGTCTGCCTGTCTAACTCCTTCCAGCGGCAGCTCTCCAGTGCCACCTTCTCCAGCGCCTTCTCCGACAACGGCCTCGACAGCGACGACGAGGAGCCCATTGAGGGCGTGTTCACCAACGGCAGCCGCGTGGAGGTGGAGGTGGACATCCACTGCAGCCGAGCCAAGGAGAAGCAGCTGCTCCAAGTGCCAGTGGAAGCCAGTGACGAAGGAATCGTCATCAGTGCCAATGAAGATGAGCCCGGCCTTCCCAGGAAAGCGGAGTATTCTGCCATGGGCACCATAGGGCGGCGGCGAGGCAACGGCTCTGTGGCACCGCACGAGAGGAGCCATAACTTAATTGAAGTTGCAACGGATGCGCCGCTCAGAAAAACCGGGGGCTACTTTGCTGCTCCAGCACAACCTGATCCTGATGACCAGTTCATCATCCCTCCAGAGCTGGAGGAAGAAGTCAAGGAGATTATGAAGCAGCACCAGGAACAACAACAGCAGCAGCAGCAGCAGAAGCAGTATCCCATGGACCACCTGGCAGACTATTATGACACACCACTATGACCCACTCTATTTACTGCTCAGAAATAAACTAACAAATAAGGAGACTTGACTGTGAGACCCAGTGGGCTTGCATTACAGCAGGGGTTTTCCTTATCTTTTTCCTTTATATACTTCCTTTTCCTTATCCTGCCACTACAGATAACTGCAGCTTTTCAGTTTGTTAGGTTTAATATTCATTGACTTTCTTCTAGAGACGCTTGACTGGTAAAGTTTAAAATAGTTAACCCTCCCTTAACATATCAAGTGTAAAAACAGGAAAACAAAACAAAAAATAATAAAAAAATAAAAAGGTTTAATATATTGCTGAGAAACAGATGATGATGTAATATTTTTTAAAATGGCTTGTTTGTTTTGTTTGAAAAGCAGGGCAGTAGCCAGTGCTAAATGATTTAAGTAATATTGTAATACTGTATTTCTTTGAGAGAAAAGGCTTTTTTTGGTCTTGAAAATGATAGACATTTGTAGAATATGGAGACTAACTCCTAGGAGTTGCTTTACTCTTTCAGGTGACTTAAGTCACTGAGATTCACTAATTTTCTCTGAGAGAACAGTTGATTGGGAAATTCCTGTAAATAGCTCAGTGTTGTATAGTGATGCTTACATGTTTTGTAGCCTTGGCATTAAGGACACAACCTGAAAAACTGACCTTTTTTCTTAAGCGACTCTTTGGGCCATGGTCGTTAAGCGTAATGGACTGTGTGGCTGTGTATACAAGTTAGCTAGAGCCCAGGTGGTGTAGACTGTTCAAAGAAACCCACTTTTTCCTCCAGTCTCTTTCTTTCCTTACTTTTACAGACACGTTTTGTTTGTGTTCCTTACTGCTGCCACAACCAGCATGATTGTATAGAGCTCATTTGCTGTAGAACATTTACATACCAAGAGTTATATTAAAGCCGAATGCACAAATGAACATGTCATAATTTTTGTTATAATAAATATGAAATTTACACCTGATGTCTGCTTTTATGTCTGACTAGCTGAGCAGCAGCTCTCAAACAGCAGTTTGCTGTGGTTCCTCAGCGTGCTGCTCAGTTAAACCAAGAAGTGTTGAACTTTTTCAGCTCTATCACATTTTTACACTAACTGCAGAAGCTCACTTGTATTTTCAGAATTCAAAGGTTGTGCAAAGTGGCCTTTAAAAGATACAAACCAACTCTCTGAGGAATTGACCTCTTCCATTTTTTTCTTTCTTGGTACTAATGCAGCACTATTGATTTGCCCTTTGCCACAGTATTGACAGTGCCAGAAGACTGAAGAGGAGCACTGTGCTCTGCTGGCTCTGTCCCACTGGGACTGAGTGACTGAAGATAGAAATGATGAATGGATAACAAAAGGTAGAAGGAAAGCAATGGATATTGAGAGAAGAGAGAAAACATGAGGAGAAGGCAGAAAAGTGAATTTAAAACTACCTATGTAAATTTGCTCCAATGTGCTGCATGAACATGAGTTCGATGGCAATCAGACTTTGGTAGCAAAGGGGCATCTTTTTGTGATTCCTGTGGGAAAGGAGAAATGTCCTTTCTCAGTATTGCCCTCAGCCAACTGCTCCTTTTTACCACTTCTCACTCTTTAAAAGCTGAAGTAGTGTGCAGTCATGACAGTGTCTTGTTCCTTTTTGGCATTTGGTTTGTATTTGGGAGGAGGACTGTGGTGACAGGCTGTTGTCCTTATTCTGTTCTAGGCTGAAATAGCCAAGTTAGAACAGGATTGCTGTTAACAGAAGATTTTTAGTTACTTTTCCTTAATAACAATAACAACAGAGGAGCAAACACTAAAATACCTGGTTTGATAAATGTTTATAGCACTGTGTACTGTAGATTTAGAAGATTGTATTTCATTGTAATTTGAGCTTCAAAATATCTCTTTCTTAAAGAAAACTCATTAAATAATGTATTTAAACAAAAAGGGCTTATGGTTTATTGGTCAGTAACTCTTAGGTGTTCTTTGGTAAACAGTTTGTATATTTCAGATTTTGCTGAAGTGATTCATTGTCCTTGGAAAAGGTTCTCTTTTTTCCCTTCTGTTCTGATGCTGCTTGAGGCTGAAGGTAATAGCTTCCTAGCAAGGACGCTGCCTTTATTTTCCTGCTGCTGGTGGAGGAGTAACCTTGCTGCCGCTGCCTGTGTGCTAAGGTGTCTGCTGTGCTGTCCATGGGGTAATTCAGAGAGAGGAGCAGAGGGCAGAACAGGGGTGGAAGGGGAACTGTTTCATGTGAGCTAAATGATGATGACTGATACTTTTCTTATGTGAATAGAAGGACATGCACATAGGCTCTGTAAAGACCTTCCCTTCCCTCCATTTGAAGGGCAGACTCCCAAGAACTTGCCAGCCCCTGTGGTTTCCCTCCTTATGCCCTTACTTTGAAGCATAGATGGTCAAAACTGACAGCCCACTGAAGGCTGCCCCTTTCAGCCTGCTGCCTTCTGTAAAGTTAGCAGCAGCATCCTGGAGTCAGGGCTTCTGTGGCAGCAGTGTGACAGGATTTTGGTGGAGGAAGTGTACCTTTGGATTATTTGTCCTGCCTTGAAAATGTGGCTGTGATAGTAGCCTGTCTTAGCAAGTTATAATGTGAAGGATTGATGGATTCATAGGGGTGACTCCATCCCTCTGCTGGGCTTTGTGTCATGTGTGGGGCTAGATTGCTAGGTTGGATGGCTTGCTGCATGTTTGTAAATAGCATTTATTTTTCAACAGAGGCAAAAGGTATTTTGTCCTGGCTTTAAACTGATTAGAAAAACAAGGTGCAATGTTTGCAACTCATGATTTTTTCTGGATGTTACTGTCCCCTTTCACAAAAGTGAGTTGGTGTGTTCCGACCTCATGAGCTCACTGATTGCATCTACATGCACTAATAGTGCACATGATTTTCGGATTATGTTCACAGTGTATTTTGCACAGTTTTGACCTACTGGGAACTGTCTGACTCAAAAAGATGTGGATTTATTTGCACAACTTGACAGCTGTAGCAGGGATGATGGTTGGGAGCTGAAAAGAAGGCTTTCAGCCATGGAAAATGTACAACCCCATTAGCTTTATAATCGAACCTTGCATGTCCTTTGAAATTTGCTGATATATTGCTCAGATTGTTTTATCTGAGACAAGCAGAAATGTATGAATAAGAGGAGGTAGATGTCTGATGGCAGAGAAATGAACATATTTACATTCTTTTCTGGAAGATAATTTTAAACAGAAAGTTGTGGTACTATTGAGAAGTAACTAAGTGGCTTCTGTGCTTGTAAATGGGAGCCTTTTGTTAAAAGCCATAATAGCTTGTTTCTTGCTTTCTGCCCATAGTGCTCTAATGTAGCAATTTTGTTTTGCCAGAATAGTGTGTTGGCATCCTGCCTGTGGCACCACCATCTCCGTGATGGCAACCACTATGGTGGCATCACCTTCCTCTGGCTTACTGGCCTCAGAGCATGCCACTGCATCCATGTGGGTTTTGTCCCTCATGGCTACAGAATGTGCTGCTGCTGCAGTGCCCCATAAGTCCTGCTTCAAGTAATCTCTTTGTAGCAAGCTTTATATCATCACCAGCCCTTGTGTTTGATGCTCATACAGGTAATTTTCCAGCAAATTGTACCTATTCTATTTTCTTTTTAAGCATAACTTTGCTACTTCAGAAACGTATCTGTGTGGGGCTGGGTGCTAATGAAATGTCACATTTGGCTCTGAAGGTAATTTCTGCATCTCTGCACCAGTCATGGATGGTGCCTCGTGGGTGCAGCCGTGCAGGTCTGGGCTTGCAAATGTGCACTTGAGTGGGTTGGGTGGGATAACCCCGTGAAGGGTGTTCTGGTCTGGAGGGCAGGAGGGCTTCAATCAATTCAAGCAGAGCAGTAGGATTCAAAGGAGTGAACAGGACAGTACCTTCAGCCTGATCTGCCCAATTTCCCTGCACACTGCCAGCCCCTTGGAGGAGAGGTGTGCTTTTTCCAAGAGGAGAAGGCACCCAAGTCAAACAGTTCTCAGCAGCGCTGTTGGGTCAGGTCCCTCAGCGCTCTGGCTGCAGGGTGGAGCTACACGGCCAGAAGGTGGTAAAAATATCTTTTGGGCTTGGAACCAGGACAGTCTTAGCTCTTAAATGACTCTATGTTTACTTTTCTCTGTTAACCTGCTTTACTGCCCTGCTTTGTTAGTTCAATTGACTTGTTTGGGGCTAACGTGTGCTATTGTTGCAGTAATTGCTTTGTCTTACAGATTTGTTACCTGCGTGCTTGCACTGAGGGTTTCACGGGGTGCTGCGTGAACCGGTCTGTTTCCTCTTGATTGCTTGCATTTTGCTGTACCTTAGACTGATGCTCTAAGTGTTCAAATGCCCTGCCTAACAAGGCTGCTGCTTCTATGGAAAGCTGAAAGTTAAAATTTGTCTGCTGCCTGAGAGCAAGTGACTCTTTGCAGCCATTTCAATCAAAAGATGGGGATGGAAAACCCCCAAATATTAAATAGATTAACTGCAGCCCCAGGGCAGAATCAGTATACCATTTATCTGGGACATCAGTGTGGGAAATGGTCCTGGTTTGCTCCAAGTCCCTGGTTTAAATGCTTGGTCCCTGCTTTTATCCAGACGATTTTATTTGTGTTTCCATTCCTGTTGAGGTCAACAGTTCATCCTTTAGATCATCCTTCCTCTGGCTGACAAGTTTGGATTCACCTGCGGTTGACTTGGATACCTCGTCCTATGTTTTATCTCATGCCATGAGCTAAGCTTGCCCTCTAGGCTGAGGCTGAAGTAGGATCTGAACGAGGCAGACGCTATCTCATCTTTTTCCATATTTTTTTAATATTGTAAGCTAAAGGGAGACACTTAAAACTGCAAGAGCTCATCAGAAGCATGACGGCATGAGGAAGCTGTTGTATAATAAGTGCAGTGTGACAGGGACCTGGGACAGGCAGGACTGGTCTGCTCCCTCATAGGGAGACCCAGGAGCCAGTGATCCCCTGAGGCGTTCTGCTGTAGGATATTCAGGGTGCCTGGTTTACAATCAGGAGTGGATTCCTGCACGTCAGACTTTGGGGGAGAGGATGAAGTATGCAGTCCCAAGGCTGGGAAGTAGTTCCTGCTGGTGGATGAAGTTCAGCTGGCTCTTCTTGCCCTGTTGCCCATTAGAGTCTCAGTGCCAGTGTCCTGCTGCTCATCACAGCCTCTGGCGTGTTTGGTGGTTTTGTTTGAGCTTGGTTTTCTGTGTCTCTCGTTAAAATTAAGGAAACAGACAGAAAAGGGATCTTTTACCAATGGTTCTGTAGAATTGCCTTTGGAGGTTTGTGTTAAGGGCATGTAGGTAACTTAGGGGTGTCCCAGGGGCCATCAATGGGCAGGAATGGGGCGCTGGAGGTCTTCAGGAGCTGCCAGTGCCAGCAGCCCTGTGATGAGAGCTGGGCACCAGACACAATGCTCTGAGCACAGCAGGCTCTTCTCCCCTTGTCAGATTCAGCACAGCTGCACCAAGAGAAATAAATGTGTTTTAACCATAAAGTTGTCAGTATTGACTCGTGGAACAGATGGGATTGTTTTGCTAATTAAATGTATGCTGTTGAATGCTTTAAAGGAAATTGGGATGCAGAACTATGAAGAGAGACTGGTATAGCAGAAGTCTGTGACTTGTAAAATGCTTTTTCATTTTAATTCCTCTTAAGGAGAGACACCAGCATTTTGTGGAAAAAAAATCTTGCAGTAGGTGCACTTGCACTTAGTACTTGGTCCTGAAATTACAGAATGTATAGTGACATACAGTGCACAGAATAGTGCATAGAATACATAGTGAAGTTCTCTGCTCAAATGTATTTAAAATTGGATGGCAAGGAAGAGCAGACACTACTGTGTCTTTTTAAAGTGGCCAAAGCTGTCCTCCTGAAAGGAGCAAATCTCCCTGAAAGAAAGCTTTGCCAGGTCACCTATGGTAGTTTAACAAGGGGTTAAGGGATTTTTAACATTTAAAAAAGGATTAAGGGAT